GAAAACAAACTTATGGTTACCAGGGAGGGAAGGGAGTGGGAAGGGATAAATTGAGAGTTCGAGATTTGCAGATACTGAATACTATATATAAAATAGATAAACAGCAAGTTTATACTATGTAGCACAGGGATCTATATTCAATATCTTGTAGTAACCTATAATGAAAAAGAATATGAAAATGAATATACATATGTTTATGTATGACTGAACTATTATGCTGTACACCAGAAACTGACACATTGTAAACTGACTATATTTAATAAAAAAAAAAAAAAGAAAGAAAGAAAGAAAAAGTGGATTCTGAAAGATCTAAAGTCTAAAGGACCTTAGTGCCTTGAATTCGGTGACTTGACTTTGTACCTGGTTTTTAGTTTTAACAACTTTTGATTAATGTGAAGTTTATGAATCTAATATTCCATTCAAAAAAAAAGAACAAAGAAATGTTCCACTAATGGCTTTATAATCCAATATATTTTTGTAAAAAATCAAGGATTTTCAATGCCTTCCCCCTTTAAACATAACTTGTTTAGGAAAAAAATAATAGGGAATGTGCCAATTCCTTCACTCCACAAGCAAAATAGTGAATTTTACTTTCTGCCTTTGCAACTTAGCACATTTTGATAACTCTGCTGCTCCGGTTGTTACCGTGGAAACAGCTACCTGACTGCCAACAGTCCAAGCTGTGGGCCTTAAGCTAATCACCACTGGGGAAATCCTGTGACTTTCCCTCTTAACTTTGCCCTCCTCCTTACCCTCTACTCTCCCTACTGCTTCTCTCCTTGCAGACTCTGCCACCCTTTGCAATACAAACTCAACCTATGTTTCCACAGGAACAGAAGTGAGGGTCAAAGTTTAAAAATCAGCATGGAGTGAAGATTCACTATTGAAGGTTTTCTTCAGTTGCTTTCTATCTATCATTGAAAAGAAAACTACATTTTGGTGTGAAAAAGACCTCACAGATCTTACTTTAGCAATTATTTCCCTGTACCCTACACCATTTGAGAAATTACTGTGTCATGTTTGACGACTTCATTTCAGAGATACTCACCAATTCAAATGTGGTCATGACATGTTAGCTCTCTTTGTTTACCTTTCCTGTTATTTGCATTTTGAGGTTTTTACTGAATTTAATGCTTATCTGAATATAATTAAACGGGGGAGTTTTAGAACCCATATAACTACCCCAAAGTTGATATTTACTGCCTAATTTCATGTGACCTATACAAAAATATTTCCCTTCCAATAGCAATGTATATCAGTAGGAGGCAATGTCAATAAGTCAAAGATAAAATATCCAGGACACTATCAAGGACATGAAATAAAGCTGCCTTTTGTGTATAAGTGTGTTTTCCTTCCTTGACAATTGACAGCTTCAGTATAAAACATTTATATATCTAGAAAATTCTCCATTCATAGCCTTGTTAAAAGATAATTTAGCAAACTGAAAAACCAGGACTGAAGGCATTTGTCTCTGTAATTTTGAAATTATCAAGACTTAAGATCAGATTTCTAGTCCCAAGAGTTGGTAAAAGTTGGGGACTGATCACTGTTTTTTATCAAAACAAATTGAGTTAGGTGCTTCCAGAAGTGTTTACTACTTAACATTCTAGCATCAAACTTCAGTGTTAAACTTTAAGATTTTGTGCCCTGAGAAGAACAGCTGTTATTCATGAAGAGAAAAAGCAGTAAAAGCATGTAAATTATCCATAAATTATCCAGATTCATGGCCAACGTGGTGATGATCAACAAGATCAAACTTGCTAATGGAAGGTGGCCCACAGAGAATGGCTGGCTACGCTCTCTTGGATGTTGTTAATTCCTCCTAAGAGTGACAGATTCAGGTGCCAGCTTTGTAATCAGAGTCACTCGTCTCAAGCCTCCCAAAGCTGCTGGAGCAATTCATCAATAGCTGATAATCTGTTACTCAGGAAAAGCCCTTTGCACAGTGTAAAGTCTGCTACAGTTCTTGGCAGAAAATAATGAGAAGAAAGAGATTCTGTACGATTCTGGATAAAAGTGTTGCCACATTTAAGACACGTTTATGCACTGGGATTTTGATTCCAGGTTCAGTGATCTTCCACTGCGTATCTTTACCCCCAAGATCAGGTGGTTAAATTTTGAAAGTAGATGCCTTCACAATGAAAACACAGAGCTACCAAACAGAAACTACTTCATCGATAAAAATGTCTTTCACATATTCTATTGAGAAATAAAAGCTCTTTATTGTGTTTGATATTTTTTAGTGGCATCCATAGATGCATTCAGAGAGTATTTTCAAACCAAAATAATACAGTGTGTGTATTTTATACATACATATATATGTATTATATATATAATAGACACATATATTACACACATATATGTACATATACACACATATTTACTGTGCTTAAAAAAATTTTAGGTAGATATTTATTTTGAAGTAGAAAAGAACTTAAGTGTCTATCACAGTTTTCTACTTCAAAGTTTTCCTTTAATTCGTAAAGATTTACTTCTGAGTACCAGAAACCTGAAAGAGAAATATAGGGTAGGAGCTTGCAACCAAAGTTATGGTCCAGGGCATTGATTCTAAACTGGGATTAAGGAAACGTTGTACACAGTCCTGAATATAACAGGGCTTAAACCAGTTGATGAGACTTTTACCAAATTATAACTGAAATATGAAAATGCAGCTGAGGATCATCCAGAATTCAAATAGAAAAGGCAAGAAGGATAGGTTCAAACGCTAGGACGACCCTGGAAGCCTGATGCTGAGCTAACAAAAACATGAAGCAGTAATTTGTACCTTGTAAGGAGAAATAATCAATTGCTTAGAAGCATTGGCAAAGTAAGTCTGAAAAGTACAAGTAGGCTAACAGGTGACTCTAACCTCATTATTTCAGACTGTCAGCCAGGCCTTGCAATAATTATTGTGCCCCAGTTGTGAAATGTTTCTGTTATCTTTTCACTCCATGACTAAGTGTAAGAATGGGCTCATTACAGGATAAGATAAAATAATTTCTATTTCAATACAATCCAAAAATCACATAATGCTTTTTCATAAATTCTAAAGAAAAGTGAGATATTTTGGATTTGGAGATAATGACAAAGAATATGTTCAAGAGGGGAGCACACTTTACATCCCACGTCCCCTCTTCTGCTGCCATATTATCAATGCAATCAGTAGCACAATGTGAAATTCTTAAGTCTCCATAAATCACGAGTCACTGGGAGATAACTGAAGGAGACAAGGTATATCAGAAAAAGAATTTGCTTCTTGAGCACGGAAACAAGCCATATGTCTTGTCTATGTCCATGTTCGTGTCCAAGTCCATATCTAAATCTATATCTATATCTGCAACTGTATTTTCATCCGGACTCATTAAGTTACTATGCCAATAAGTTTTCTGCCTTAATAGTTGTTATTATTATTACTTAAACTTCCTCTGTTAAATCTTGAGTCTTATAGGTAACTGCTTGGGCAAACATTACTCTTAGGATTATAAATAGCACTCAAATTTTTTTGAGAATTAGTCAGATTTTGTTTTTCAGAAGCACTTATGAATTCTATGTAACTTTTTAAGAAAATAAAATGTTGCCATACTAGCTGCCTTTAAAGATTCACAAAATATTTTTTTTTATCTAATTCACAAGGTATGGGTCAGGCTTTCTGAGCCTGTGAAAGTGTGATGATAATCATAGTAATTGATTATTATACAGACAGAACTAATTTATAATAAGAAGAGATTCTCAACATACCTCATGAAGCCGGAGGTCTTTCTCATAAACAAGCTTTTTTACAAATGCAGCTATAAATACCACCCAGGCAACCATAAGCACGATTGGAAGAGAATAAGAGACACTGGTTAGGAAGCTGTAAGAAAAAACAAAAACAAAAACAAGAAAACAAAAATCCAGTGACCAAGATGAATGTCACACTTGCAGACTGTAATACATAAAGAATACACTCCCTGTTACATTGAAAGTATACTCTTATTTTGAAATTGAGGATAATTATTAATGTGACTCCTTTATGAAGTGTGAAGCTAACTTAACAGTAGGCCCATTATTTTCTTGCTTTAATGCTACAAGAGTAAAATAGTTGTGGATTGTTAGATCAAATTTCCAAATTGTTTTAAGTTTATTTGAGTATGTCCTGTTCAAGAAAATAATTATTATGTAAATATAATTGCAAGGCTCTAAACTCCATTGTCTAAACCAAATTCCTATCTAAAAGGCAGATTTAAAATCAGATGATGATTGGTTTATCTAGCTAAAAGCTGTGTCTTCCCAAATTACTGTATTTACTTACTCTTTGGAAGCTCACAGTTATTATTAAGCCAAATTTCCCCCAAATGAAATAAAATAAAACTCAAAATCATCTGATTTAAAATGCAGACAAAGAACCTGAATTCCTCAAGATAATGCTCTAGGAGATGTTTCATAAACAGTATAGAAATGCTTTTTCTGGTAACATGCTAAACTAGAGGGTCACTGGGAGACTTAATATATTCCTGAGTGGCCAGCCCATGATACCTGAATGTTCAAATGCAGTGTTTGTCAAAGTTAACATGCATCAGAATCACCCGAAAGGCTTATTAAAACAGATTTCTTGGCCTCACCCATAAGCTTCTGATTTATTCTGTCTGAGGTGGGGTGATGAATTTGCATTTTGAACAGTTTCCCAGGTGATGCTGATGCTGCTGATCCAGGGACCATCCTCTGAGAGCCATGGTTCTGACATTAACCACTGTCTGTGGGCTAAGGCGAAGGAGCAGTTCTTAAGGAGAGAAACTCTAAATTGATCTGTTTTACATATTAGGCTCCACAGAAGTTTTCACCTGCAAAAACATCCCAAGGCCATTTTCTTTTTGATCTATAGGGCCAAGGAATTACCTTGAAGTTCCCCATGAAAAATGCAAATATTAATGGAACATGACCTCATCATCATTCATTATCACTTTAGCATCAGGAGTGTATCACCATTAGAGAAATGAGGGATTTTTTTTTTTTTTTTTTTTTTGGTAGAGAAGGAGTGAAGGTTGGGGCCACATCCAATTTTATTGGTTCCTGGGAAACTATCTGGCACGAGGAAAGCACTTAAAGAATATTTGTTGAATGAATTTTGTCTTGGTTCAGGTCCAGCTTTCATGCTGTTTCTGGCTCTAGAATTAGGTAAATGCCCTCATTCATTAATAACAAATCCCTGCTTATGTTTCTTCCAAGGGATTGTGTATTTTAGGTTTAGTATAGTATGAAAGAGAAAATTCTGGTATTGTAATCAAAAGACCAGTACAGTACCAGCTATTCAACTTTGGGCAATTTACTTGACTTTCTGGATTTCAACTTTTTTATCTAGAAAGTGTGGCTGATAATACCTGCTCCTACTTTATGAGGTTGTTCGGTGGAACAAATAAAATAACATATATGAAAGCATTTTGTAGGCAACACACACTAGGCATTATGTTCATACTGCCACGAAGAATGAAGAGTACAGTTACTTTACTCTTAAAAGAAACATTCAGGTAATCACCATCCTAGGTACTACAATTTACAAGGGGGAAAAAGTCAGTAAAACAATGAGAATTTTCACTTAAAGATGGCAGGTCTTTACTATTCATGCAAGCCGTTGCAGCTCACACATGGTTTAGGCAGCAAGGTCCTGACTGGCTTCCATGATAAGCACTTAACCTGGACAACCAGCCTGTCTCCCAGTATCACAACTGCACAAAAGGGCTACATGACCTCATCTCATCTATAGCTCTTGAAACAGCCAAAGAAGACAGAAGCAGCGATAGAAACAGAAAAGAAAAATCCAGACCCATTTGACTTGTCTATAAACTGTAATAACTGGCTGAATAACAACTATAGTTTGTTTAAGGTAATAGTCTGCCCCAAGCTTGGTTGTAGGAGAATGAGCTTGAAAAACTTGGTCCTCCGACTTTCTTTTTTCACTGTGGTCAGAGTGGAGGAGCCATTCAGTGCTACCTGACTGGCAAATTTCTTAAACATTTAAATTTAGTTGTCTAAAAGCATGATATTTACATATTTTGTTCATTTAAAAAACCCACTTTAGATACAGGTTCCTACCAAGTGGACTGAGAATACATGATAGTTTCAGATAGCACAATATTTTTCTTAGTCAATCAATAATGTGTTTTATTAAATTGTTTTCTTAAAACTGACCCTGCACTCACAGATTTTTAATTAAGCTTGAGAGTTGGAAGGGATTTTAAGATTGCCTTGTTTTAACACTCTCATTTGACTAGAGAAAAGCAAGACCAGTAGAGAGTGAGTAACATCAGAATCATGCAGCAATGCACTCAGGTCTGGAGTCCAATTCTCCTAATTTTGAGGCCAAAGTCCTTGGAAAGCTAAGGGTTATGATAAAGAAAACATGGATCGTTTGGTAAAAACGTTACCATCATTTGGGTAACAATGAGCAGCTACAGTGAGCTGTGCCCTATACTGGGGACTTTTTCCTGGAAACAAGCATTTGACAAAGGTTTAGTGAACATTATTCCTTTCACCTGATACATGTAAATGAATGAAAAGAAATGAATTCTCAAAAAAAGTGGACATACTTGTCTTTCATGTAGCAGGGATAGGGAATTGCTTGGACCTGGACTGCTATTTCCTGGGAGTTCCTTCCAGTCTGCAATTCAATGATGGCTCTTTCAATACTATCCTGTAAGTAGATAAAAGCCCGGCCATAGATCTGGTTGTGTGATGGAGAATTGTGTGGCCCCGGGGCCCAAATCTTGGTTCTTATTCTTCTTGTTGTCTGTGCAGTCTTGAGACTCATGCGGATGGTATATTTTACAACAGGAGGAATAGAGATGTTTTCAGAGTCATAGCTTCTGTGCCAGCTTCTATTGGAAGGAAGCTTAAAAATAACACCTACAAATAAAACGGCAGCAACATTAGAAAGGTTATTTTACGGTTGACATTACTTATTGTTTGGAGGGTACACATAGCGGGCAGCCAAACAGGCTCAAATTGAGTTAGTAATGTGACACAGTAAGTTCAGACTTCTAATTTACAGAAAAGATGGCTAATTGAAAGTGACAATCAGCGATTCAAAGCAGGAGTTTGAGAATATAATCACAAACTAAGTGGCCAGATTAAATATATCACTCTAAGCCATTTACTGAAATTAAACACACACATACACACACACACACACACACACACACACCTTAAAATGAATAATCTTGACTGATTATGAGGATGGACTCAACTTCACCCTGTAACTATGTAATCCTTTTCAGTTTTAATTTTAACCATACCAGCAAAATTAAACATATTGAAGGCTCCTCAGACAATATGGGTGGTTGACTACATGAAAGGTTCTCATGCCTAAGGACATCAGAGGGGAAAATGCCCTCCCCCTCACCCCGGACTATTTTTCTGAGTTCTGGATGAAAGAAGTGAGGGAAGAATTTGGCCAATTTTAGTACAAAGAGAAGCTCAAATTCTGGAGGAACAGCACTTACTTCCAAAGAGTTCATTGCTCTTGTAAAGTCTTTTAGCCTCTCTCTCCATTTCATCTATGCTCTTTGCCGCCTGAATACGGTCATATAATACACAGGAGGAAATATTTACTGTCAGGGAAGACAGCGTGTTAAGATGATCAATGAGGTCAATGCTGTTCTCTAATTTCAGCCTTAGAATATCTAAGGAGAGAAAAAAACAGACACAAAGCATGTTATCATGTTGTATTATAATGCTGTTTTTGGTAGTAATGAGACAAAATATTACTTTTTGATGAGTATTAAATCTTAAACTAGATTGTAAGGAATAGGAAGTTGTAGAATTTACTCTAAAAATATCTAATACTCTACATTTGGGAGAATGTGACCAGTTGTGCAAATGTTCATTGAGATAATGTTGAAGTAGTTACAGATACAGTAAACCCAAGTACAAAGAATGATAAAACAAATTCAAAAGTATATTCTGCTACAATTTAATTAACCAATGACTAAAGTTGAATAATTTAAAAATATATATCTGCATTAGTTAGGAAGAAAACTATAAACTAGAGGTGACAGTTTTGAATAAATAGAAATGCTTGCTTTGTTCACGGAATGTGAATGTAGGAATTTAACCAAGGAAAATCTATGGAGAGTGTGGAACAAATAAACTCTATCATTCAGTAAGTTGTGCTACAGAATAATTTCTTAGGAGACCGTGCCAATCTATGCCACATAGTTACAACCTTCTAATATTGTTTGATTTAAAACCTTATGAGAGTTGTCTCTATTGACACATGTATTAATCTAGACAAAATGATCAAGATTTTATTTCAGGTAATTATTCAGGAAGAAAGAGAATTTAATTGTTCCCTAATTTCATGATTCCTTAGAAGGAAATTGACTGAGACAAGGGTAAATATAAAATTGCAAGTTAATAAATCACTTGGCCAATTAAATTTTCACTGACTTGGTCATCATGGATACGGAGAAGGCTGTGAATATCATAACTCCCTCTTCACAGAACCTAAACATGTCTCTACCATCATCCAATAGAAGACTAAACTTCTCACAGAGGGCAACTTCTTAAAAGCATCTCTCATTAGAATTTGAAGTGAAAGGTTTTACTTGATATAGACGTTGGTGGGGGAGGGGTAAAACTGTGGTTGAACAGTGGCCTCCAGCAGCCATTGGAAATCAACACAACAATGGTAGATGGAATCAAAGAGCTATGGAGTCACTGCCTCCCCAATTCAAAGTATACAATCTCTTAGCTACTAAGTTACATATACAATTATACAAACAGCAAGTCTCACTTCTATAGTCATTTTAACCTTATTTTAAATTCTAAAATTCATCTCCTATATCCAAAGTTAGGAACGAAAAAAAATTATATAAGAACTTTGTAATTTATCCCTGATATTTTGATCAAATATTCCTTATCCAAATGACACTTTTGGAAAATCAATCACTAATACTTTTCTTAAATAAAACTGGATTGACGAACATAAAATGCATACAATTATACACAATATAAATGTAGGCATAATTTCTCCCCACTGGTTTACAACATGAATCATTTAAGTCTCTGTAGTGCTGGGGAGGAGGAGGGGCACCTGCTCTACTGCTGCCAAATTCTGATGCTCTCAATCCCTTCCTTATGCCTATGGTTGCATAGCAACAGGGAATCAGACACAGACTGAATTAGATATCTTACATCCCTGAGGTTGAAGGTGGGGATGTGGCAGAGGGAATGCATAGTTCAGACAGCCTTCTTTGATCTGTTTCAGCATGTTCCTTTTAAATGGCCATGAGAGGAGGAGTAGACTTTGAATACTGATTTAGGTTTATTTTTCTTTTGAGTCTGCATTGTCTTTGTTTGCTTTTGCTAACTTTATAACCTCTTCCCATTACATTCTGAGTTAGTCAAAGTGATACTGAGGCCAGTGGAGATTAAAATTATAAATGTAGCCAAAAATAAACCATTTCATCTTCTTTTGTCCTTAAAGACTTGTTTTTCATCAGGTTACCAAAAAAATCACATCATCTTGTAGCAACTTACCTGTGATTGAAGGACAAGCTGCATTTACATGGAATATACTGCATTATAATTATTGAAACTAACTACAGACACTGGGTATCCAAATAATCATTACTACTTGTAACTGTACAACTAACTAGGAAGAAGATGGATGGCTATATCCAGGATTTTACTTTTCTTAGAATAAATAGCTAGAAACCAAATACAGAAGAAAAGGGAAAAAAAGATCTTATATGGGAAACATTTTTCACATTTCTGACATGACTAGTGAATAAAAGTTTTGTGAATATGGACTCACCGAGTTCATCTATTTGTTTCAATAGTTCAACAGCATCAAGTCCCACGGAGAATTTTATAAAAACTTGCACAAATGGGTTCCTTAGAGTATTCTAACAAATAATAATAGGGAGTCAGTTTTAATACACGACAAAAACATGTTTAATCATCATCTCTCTAATAATACCCACAGTGAAATGAGGTACCACTACTGGGCATTATCAGTGCACCATCTTGCAAAGGCTCACATACAAATCTCTGAGAAAGAAAGGTGTGTGGCTGATAGTGACTTGAAACGCTGAGGTTTATAAACACAAACTGGTCACCATGCTGAAGTGGCCTTATTGACCACTTTTATGACCATAATTAACATTAGGAAATCATATTCAATTTAGCAGTCCTTTTCCCCCACAGCTTCTATATTATTTACTTTTAACATATGTTATGCACAATTTTAGTGGTTCATAATTGAATTATATAATTGAAACAACCCTAAAAATTGTAATGTCTACGTGGAATTTAACATCAGAACTGGTTTGTACTCTAGTTCTACAACTTCCTAGCTGTGAGGTTTTCAGCAGGCACTCAGTCTCTTCCAGCTTCAGTTACTTTTCTGTAAAGTTGACCTGAATGACGCATCTTATCAGAACAGTCAAATGCAAATTATTATGGTATTGTTTTATACTGTAATGAGTTCAGCTTTGTGAACATGGAAAAATAAACTGATGATAAAACTTTAAATTACTCTTTATTCAGAAGAAAGACTGAAAAATTAAAAAAAATACATGCTTTAAAATATAGAGGCTTTTGTAGCTATCTTCCAAATTAGGAGACATAACTTCTACAACTGCAGTTGTTCTTCTTGGTAATACTTACTGAGACCTTATTATGTGGTGGGCACTAGAGTTTACCTTGATTTTGCTACTGAGTTTTCAGTAATATCTTGAGGTAAGTACTATTGTTGCCGGGAGGAGGGTAATAAAAGTCAACTCGGTTCTCAGTCAACCTCCCCAAAAAGAATTTTTAATGAGAGACAGAAAGCATGACGTAAACAGAAGATTTTGTTAGTGAAGTAAAAAGGCAGTAAAATACAGTACACCCCTGAGAACTGGGAGTGGGCCAATCCAAGAGAGGAAAAATGGCGCCCCTCCTTTGTTTCTCCTGTCTGGTATCCTGGTTTAGGAGGCATTTTTGTGATTGATTGAGTCACAGCTCAGTTCCTGGTGCTCAGGCACGCCCATTCCTTTTGCGTGTTCTTACCCGTGATGTACACAGAGAAACCTATGGGAGGGGGCTCAGACTGCAATGTTAATTACATCATAATGCAGCATTGGGTCGAGTTAAGCCAGTCCTCTCTATTGTGCAGCCACAGCATTAGGTCCCAGCCGGCTTCTTTGCTGATCCTCATTTATAGAAAGTCACAAAGTTTTGAAGCCCCTTCTCCTGAGCGCAGGTGTACTATTATTTTCTGGGTTGCTCTTTCCCCCTTTCTCTCCCCTTGCCCGTGCTCATTTCTTTCTAATTGCCTAACATTATTATCCTCGATTAATAGACGGCAAAGCTAGGGTCCAAGAAACTGTGTAAACTCTCCTAAGGTTGTACAGTTAGTAATGGCCAGGGGAAAAGTTGAAGGGAGATAAAGAAATGTTTATTCATCTTATATGGAAATTCATGGCTTAGTTTTCATGTGAGCTAGGCTTAAGTTGTTTTCCCTTTACAGGACGATTCAGCACCACTTATTAATCTGTCCTTTTTACCAATATCTTCTTTTGTTATCATGGAGATAAGTGATTAATAATATGTATTAATAGAGCACATATATAATAAATTTGCTAAATCTGTAGCTGCTGAGAGATCTAAGGGCAGCTGGTAGCATAAACACAGATGGCTATCACATAGCTACACACCATGATAACTCAAGTTCTTTAAAATCTGTTTATCAAGAATTAATTTGTGCATTGTGGAAAATCTGAATTACAGCATTACTAATAAGTAAAGCACAGTGTTACCTGCAATTCAGAGATGATCCAACAAACTCTATTTCCATTCTCCCATCACTTTCAACCATTCCTGTCTATGATATATAATACTATTTTCTTCCTTTCTTTTAATGGAGGTACTGGGGATTGAACCCAGGATCTCATGCATGCTAAGCATGCACTCGACCACTGAGCTATATCCTCCCCACTTAAATATTTCCACATGTATGATTTTCACAGGTCTGTGACATGGCTATCAAAAGACCCATTTTAGAGATTCCTAAACTGTAGCAAGTATTTTAAGTCATTTGCCTTAGAGTTCACAATAGCAAAGCCAGGTCATGCGATAGAAACATGAAGTTTCAAATTCTGTGCACACTTGCAGAAATAAATTTTCCTCCATAATTGAGACTCATGACTTATATTGAGAATAACAATACTCCAGTCAGATGATAATCCATTTATAAGCATAATCACAGGATTTCTTCTTAGCAAGTTACTGTGCTTTGGAATTATTATGTATAGATCATTAATTCACTGCTTTAGCCAACAAAACTTTCCTTAATGAAACATGTGTGGGGTTTTTAGTCTGTTCCCAGAAAAAAAGTTTTAGGAGAAAAGAGCAATTTTTCACTGCAGAAAATACCTATGTCAATAAACTACTGTCCATGTTGCCTTTGTTATCTGAGATTCACTAAAAGAGACCACTTTAAGTAGACATGCTTAAATTTAGAACCAAATTTAACAATAAATTGTGGGGAAGATGTCTGATGAAAAGCCTATTTTATATTAAGTTCATTAAATATCTATTTTAGAAATTAATTTTATTATTTATAATAAAATTTCAGGCTGTAATTGCAACTATGCACTAATTGTTAGTCAAAACAAAGACTGAGTTATACCCCATTCTGGGGGTATAACTTTTCTTACAAAGTTGTATGACACAAATTTTTTGTTCTCTGTTTAACTTCTTGAGCATGATTATAAAGAAGGGCATTTTTTGTTGCTATCGTTGCAAAAATCTTTCGGGGTTCCATCAATTTTCCAATTCCTTGATATGCAAGCCATTCTTTCTTGAGGTTTCTAAGTGGTCATCATTCTTGACAATCTTCTCTTCTGCAGTTGATAATGGGTCTAACTCTGCTGTTTGGTGTTTAGTTACCAATAGCTCTTTGTGACTGGAACACTTCCCCACACTATTTGTATCATCTTCAGAAAACCCTGCATCTTTACAAGAATGGCAGATTACACTTTTCAACCACTGTACATTGTTTTTGAGTTGCACTGTCAAATCTTTAACCTGAACTAGAGTATCAAATGTTTCAACCAAAAAACTCCCCAGATTTAACATTCTTCTCCAGAATATTAGTATTTTAGGAGTTCTGATTCAGTGAAAATAGCAAAACATAATTTAGAGAAATAAATAAAATTAGCATATTTTAAGTAGATTTTATTGCATTTTCATTTTGGAAAATGGATTTATATCACTATTTCTGTCTCAGGATCAACTTGTAAAATGGTTTATCTCTGAATTACAGACAGAGGAACTGTGGTAAAAGAGGTGAGGATGGTTACAAACATGAGTGATAGAACTGTTATCCAGTCTCAGACCCACTCTCTGGAGGAGAGGCAATTTTAATCTGTTAAATATGGATTCTAAGTTATTATCTTCCCATTTCCACAACAAAGGTGATTAAGATCTCAAGGAATTATAATTCACAGGAAGGTGAATAACAGAACCATCATCTCCTACCTGGAGCATTGGAATCGTCTGGTTTAACAGGTGGAAGGAATTCAGGAAAAGTGGTGATTTATCCATCCACTCTTGAGATTTTTCTCTTAATTCTGCCAGCTGCCTCAGAGTTACATTAGACTTAAAGACAAAGAAAACAAAAATAAATCTGGTCGATTAGTATTTTTCCTATATTCCAAAAAAAATCTTACGGTTGTTTTGTTACATAACTTTAAGGAACAGTTCTACAAGGTGAAGTCAATAAAACATTGTCAGAAATTTCCCCCATGATCAAAAGATTTTGATCAAAAGGTTTTAAATGGCAGATTTTATAGGGTCAAGATCACTTATAAAAATTCAGGAAATTTTAGGGTTTACAGGCAAAATTAAAGCATGCCTTCTGGAGTTCTCACAAGTTAACCATTAAAGAAACATCCTAGTTCAAGGATATAAGAAGGATACTCTCATGTATTACTGGTAGAAAGGAATAGAAATAGCCCTTTTTGAAAAGCAATCTGACAACAGTCATTAAAATCGAATACAGTATCCTTCAGTCCCTCAATCTTGAACATTCACCTCAGTGAAATAAAAATACCACTGTATAAAGTCATATGCAAAGAAGTATCGGTTGCAACACTATTTACATGAAAAAAAAAACCCAAAACAAAACAAACACTAGAAACAAAAAGAATGCCCAACAATTAAGGATTGGTTGAGTAAATTCTATGATATGAAAAAATTTGCAATCTTCCAAGAGTGACTAAACTGTATCTATTGAATTGGAAGAATTTCCACAAGGTATTGTTGTGTGACTAAAGCAATATGTAGAAAGGTATTATAATGAAACTTCATTTTAATAATGCAAATGATGGCCAAAGAATTCTGCATATGAAAGTGCATATAGTATAATAATATATAAAGGATTAGAGGAATGAATGCAAATTATAGAAAGACACATCCTTGAATACTAACATTCATTAGTTTACACGAAAAGAGTAGGATCAAGCAGGGAGAGAAAGGAATGAGAGTCAAGGAAAAAGGAAAGAAAAAAAGACTGCATTACAATATACAATAAAGACAAAGAGCATTCTAGAAATCAATGATGACTTCAAGTACATTTTTATATAGACCTTAAAATAATTTATATTTACATAAAGTTTAATGACCAAATAATGCAGATGTAAAGCAGAGATTTTTTTTTTACTTTCACTCTATCATTTTAAAAGCATCGAGTTTATAATTCAAATCATTGAAGCCAACTTTAAAAGTGAGAGAGAAATGCCATTATGGTTAAATTAGGTAGATAATAAGTATAGTTACTATTAATAATGTTGTCTTTCTCAACATCTATCTTCTATACAAAGATGTCAAATTGATATAAAAGATGTCAAATTGTACAACCAAATATGAAGCCAAGAATCTATAATTTAGCAATTGTTTTTGTTCCAACTAGTTATATAATGCCACAATATTATTTTTTCTAGTGCCATTATTTTTATACACTTTGAAAGTTAGGTGCCAGTTGTAGAAAAATGTTCTGCTTTGGAGATAAACTGCAAAATCTGAGGCATTGCTTTAACTAACCTCATTCTCAAGTGTCAACATGGATCATTTCTCTTCAAAGAGCTATTACCCAATCGACATTGTTTACACATATACAGGGCAGAAGTTGAGAACTGTTAAGAGTTTCAGAAAGCCAAAGGTAATAGTATGTAAGCTGTAAAGAAATCTGAGGCAGCTAGAGTAAATTTGGAGGCTGACTACTTTAAAAATCATCTCAATAATCAGGACAGAAACTTTGAGTTACAATGGCCAAACCTTTTCCATTATTGCCTTTGTGACAGGGGTATATGGTGCGTACAAGATCCTTCCCAACAACATAGGTTTCAAGAAAGCCCAAATCACAGGTCCAGCAGGCATATTAATGATGTCTTTATAAAGGGAAAAGCAAAATGGTGCTGGAAAGAAAAAGTATAATAAAACCATTTAGTATATGCATTTAAAATCTCTCTCTTCATGGTAAATTGATATAGCTTATTTTTATAGTACCCCAAAATATATGCCTTACACTTCCTTTTTTACTGACAGATATGAGGCATCTGGTGTCAAAGTAAGAAAGTACAATAACAAATCTTTTTTTAGGTGTGAAAGTTTAACCCAAAAAGCAAGCCCATAATAAGTGATGGCATTTTGCCAAGAGGAATTAGAAAGGTTGAAAACCACATTTCAGAATTTCTTCCAACAGATCTTCCTCACCAGCACTTAATTGAAAAAAATACAAAAATCTGCTGCTGGGATGGTATCAGATACATAAGAGCTGTTCCCCAATACATGCTTATTGAATGAATAAAAAGATGCACAAATGAGTCAATCCAATTGCTATACTAAACCTCCCTGTATAACTTGGAAGAGCTCAGCTGATCATATTTTTTTTGCATCTCAAAGCTTATAGATTAAGTAAACAGCTTTGATATGTCACTGAACACACAGTTCAGTTTGTGGTTCTGCTGCATTCACAAATCTCTTCTATGTGTAATACAAATTTCTAATTTTAAAAAGTTAAGAAAAAATACTGACCCTGAGCAGATTTAAGGCATGCTGTTGTATTATTTACTGGCAAGGTGTAGTTGTGGCTAACAAATTCCTAGTGCTGTGGTTAAGAGGTTAGAATTTGCAGCAGACTACCTGTGTTCAGATCCACAGCTTTGATACTTTCCTGTCGGGCGACCATGGCCAGGTTACCCAGCCTCTCTGTGCCGGTTTCCCTGGTCGTGAAGAGTGAATGAGTTGATACGCCTAACATGTTTCATGCGTGGTAAGTGCTGTATGAGTGTCTTCTATTTTCACTCTTGGGGGAAATTAATGCTTCATTTCTCATAAAAGGCTAAGATTAGTAGACAACATTGTCAGGAGAGGACATTACCGTGCTGATTGTGAAGTATACTCACTGGAATGTAAGGGAATCCCATATTTTGCAGCAATTTGCTCTTTACTTAATTTATGAGTCAAATAGTCCTTGGTGTGGTTGCCTTTCTGCCTCTGAGATGAGGGCAGCAGTGCAATTAAATAATCAGTGGTAATTCCTTGGGAGCACAGTGCCTGGGAAATGGTACTAAATGATCCTTGGGGTGTGTTTATCCGGTTGCCTCTATACATAGACTGTGGGATAAAAATATGCAATTTTTAACATCATATGAGCTATAAATGCTACCGAAAACAACATAGAAGAAAACCTGATAATGTTTAGTGTGTCCTTATAATTTCCGTAATTCCTTTAAAACATGTACCCCGCATGGAAATGCAGAATGCTAAACTCCACCCATTTAAGTGTCAAAAACTTTTGCCAGAGCAGAAGAGTTTTCCTGTAAGTGATTTTTGTCAATGTACTATATTTGTGGCCGAATGTATTATAACTAACCTCAAATAAGAGTTAATATGATAAAAGGAATTTTCCAACAAGAACATTACTGGGTGACGTTCCTACCTGTGTTAATGGAAAGCTTCTGGGCAGATGTTTCAGGGATCTCATTTTTTCTAGCAGCGGTCGTGTGCCGGAAGCCATCTGATTGAGGATCTCCTTTAGCCTTATGAAGAGCTCTATCATCTTTTCTACTGGCTTTTGATCTTCTCTAGGGAAAAACACCTAACAGGAACAGAATAAAAATGAGTGATTTATGTGGAGAAACTGGAACCCTCACACGCTGTTGGTGAGAATATTGAAAGGTATAGCCACCTTGGAAAATATTTTGGAAGATTATTAAATAGTTAAACATAAATTTACCACATAACCCAGCAATTCCATTCCTGGGGGTTTACCCAAGAGAAATGAAAACATATGTCCACACAAAGATTTGTGCGGGGATGTCCACAGCAGCATCACTCACAATAGCCAACATATGGAAACTGTCCAAACGAATGGATAAATACAATGTATATCCTTAAGCTGGAATACTATTTGGCAATAGAAGGAAATGAAATACTGACACGTTACAATACATATGAAACCCAAACCATTATACTAAGTGAAAAAAGCCAGACACAAAGACCATATATTGTATGATTCAATTTAAATAAAATGTCCAGAAAAAGCAAATCCAGAGACAGAAAATAGATTAAAGCTTGCCTGTGCTAGAGGTTAGGATGAGAAGTGACTGAAAATGGACACAAGGTTTCTTTTGGAGTTGATGGAAACGTTCTAAAATCAGATTGTGGAAACAGTTGCACAATTCTATAATTTACTAAAAATAACCACATTAAATTGTACACTTAAAATGAATGAATTTATGGTATATAAATTATACCTCAATAAGTTTGCCAAAAATAAGTGATTTTAAAAGTCAGAAAGGCAAATGTCAATTACATAATTCTTCATGTATACTATTATTCAAAAAACATATAACATGCTCCTTAAAAATCAAAAAAGGTCTGTCAAAAAGTATACTTGATTTATCAGGCTAAATCATAATCCCACAATGTATTTCTGCTGCAGTAAGAAACACTGGAAATATTTTTCAAATTAAAATTTTAATTTTATTCTCTCATTCACCCATTTATCAACAAACATTAATTGAGTGCCTGCTATGCTCCCAGCACTGGGCGAGGTGATGGTATGGTGGTACACAAACTGGCATAATCCTTCCACTCAGGGGCTTTTGTTTTAATAGGAGGAACAGATATGAAAATAGTCGGTGAACTAAAAGGCTGGGGAATATGAGGAGGTAGGGAGTTCAGCTAAGAAATCAAAGAAGTCTTTCCAAGATGGCACCCCAAAGGAAAGAAAGAACAAACCACAGGAGGAATACAGAAAGGAAGGTGATAGGCAGAGGGGGAAAGATTTGTGAAATTCATGAAGAGGGGAAAGCTCTTGGCATGTCCAAGGGGGTCAAAGACCTCCGTTATAAGCACAAGATTCAGCTGGAGAGATCTCATAAAGACACAGCTACTAACTGCAATCAGATTTTTCTAAATTATATTCAACATATTAATTTTTCTTCTAGTTCTGCCAAAATTCTAGGCATTCCTATATTTATTTGAAATAAATTGACTAATGATGGGAAATTTTTCATTATTTTTGTTCATAGTACCTTGAAGAATTAGGGATGGTCTTCTGCTTGTAAAATGTATATATTTAGTTACTATACTCAACAAAAAATAGTTGGTTTGATAAGTGCTCTGCAGAGACATTATAAAATAAGGATTAAAATTTTAGATGAAAATTAATTTCAATCTATATGCATTTTCAGTTTAGTTTATGCAAAATAACTACTCATTTAGTCACTGGGTATTTGCTAAGTACTCTAAGGGCCAGAAACTGTTCTTGGCATTTGAAATGTTTCAGTGAACAAAGAGCCCTTGGGGAGCTTATATCCTAATAGAGGTAGACAAAATATAAACAACAAAGGTGAATATTGAATAAAATATACAGTATGCTGGAAGTGCAACAGAAAACAGAGCAAGGAAAGTATGTTTGAGAGTGCTGTAGATAAGGTTGGCAGCATTTTAAATAGGATTGTCAGGGTAGATCTTACTGAGAAGGTCAATGTTGAGTAAAGACACATAGTTCTGCAAATCACGTGAGGAGCACCTCCTGGAGTGGGCCCATGCAGCAGCCATGGGCCCAAAGAGTAGCCTTGTAGGAAATGGGATTTTTTAAATGGGGAGGGGTTGTGCAGGCCATGGGCCCCTGCAAGATTTCAGGTTTTACTAGAATAAAATGGGGAGCCACTGGAATGTGTTGAGCAGAGGAGTGACATAACATGATTTAAGTTTTAGAAGGATGACTCCTGCTGCATAGGGAGTGGTAGGTGGGTTTGGGGTAGTGGAGACAAGTGTGGAGGCAGGGAGGCCAGTTAAGGCCATTGCAGAATGCAAGTGTGGGATAATGATGACCTGGAAGGGAATTATTTATAACTAGTCCTAAAATGTCTTCCTAGCCTTTGCTACACTATCTCAACAACATAACTCAGCCATGTTGCTTCTGGTTTTTCTTACTTTCAAGAGAAAAAAATTTTTTTCAGTGCTTTCCATAACATGTAAATCATTTTGACCTAGTGTAGATTTGAGTGAATATAGAAGTTTAAATTTCCTATGTTTATATTTTTTAGTTTTTTATTCAATAAGTACTTATAAAGCATCTATGTATTGCAAGATGGAGTTATTGATGACTTTCCTAAGTTCTAATAATGACCATTTGCTTTGTTCTACTGGATGAGTAATGGCAGCCTCTATGTAAATCTGATGAAGGAGGCACAAAAGTATTTTTTAAATACCAAAAATAAAAAAAAATGTAATTTTTTACTTGAAAAAAAACTTTGTTCTAATCGTTATTTTTTATCCTACCAAATTAATGCTTGTTCACTTAAACATTTTTATTATAATATTTGTATTTCATACTTTAGTATATTGTATATTAAATTTAATTCCTGGTATTGGATATACAAATTGAAAGTTAATAAGGCAATAATATTAATTTCCTCATCTATAAAATACTCAAATTTATAATATATGATCTCTAAGATCCCACTTAATTCTAAAATATAGCTATAATTCCAAAGCTGTAAAAATGGCTCTCACTCCTCACAGTACCAGGGAGCATACATGTGTAATCAAATATTTTTTATTAAACTATAAATATAAAAGTACTTCTTCAACAGCAACTTGCCTTGTATGTGAAGTTGTAAACGTCTAAGTAGTGCAGAAAAGTGAGTGCAATGAGGTAAGACAGACGGGATCTCTCTGGAAGAGGCAGGCTGCAGAATTCCTTCATTGCATCTTCCAATTTGGGATTAGTCATATTAGCATCACAAGAATGCAACCAGAACACAAAAGAAAGAATCTGCAAATTGGAGAAAAAAGTACTTAAGCTGTGAATCCTCTGAGAGTTACCTGTCCATTTTGAGAGGTTTTCTTATACTCTTAAAGCTTCATTCAGAAATATGACAATTACCTCAAAATCAAATAATCTTTATTTAAAGCACTAATTACTATCAATAAATCTAAGAAGTCCATAGTTCACTGGAACGCTTAAGAAATAAGACGGGAAGATAGAGAGGAATCCACAATGATTCCCAGATTTCTTGCTTGAATGACTTGGTGAATGATGGTACCAAGTAAGATAATTGGTTTGGAGTAAGTTTGGGGAAAATACTAGTTTAAGACTCTTCTTGCCTTTAAAATTTTACTCTTATTTATTCAAATTGCATTACATTTTTATAATCATTTGAAGTTTAATCTTGTACAATAAATTACCAGGTCCAGAGATGAAAGGCAAAGGAAAAAAAGCCCAGAATCGCACAATAATATGAACCTACCATCCTGGACGGTAATGCTTGTGTGAAAAATGAGATGTGACTATAGGAAGTGAGATGTTATCTCTATTTCCACCAAGCTGAAATAAGAGAAAAGTTTATGAAATTCAAAGCTATACAAACTTTTCTCTTTCCTTTTGAAAGTAATAAGAATGTATGTTCTCCATTTACCTGTTTTTACTTATTAAAATGAACCTGCTCTTCAGAAGCCAAAAATGTGATTATTGAAATTAGATGTTAGCATCACATGAGTGAAAGGTGAAACCAAGGGGAAAGGCGAAGGAAGATTAATTGCTAGAACAAGAGTTAAAAAAAAGAGCAAGGCAGTTTTAACTTTTGTTTGGGAGAACCAATTAAAATGACACAGCTAAACATAAATATTCCAAAGTCAGCCTTAAAGGTTTTCAGAAAACTTGATCCAATATTGGAGAATAACCTGGTTGTGTTTAGAAATGACACACTCTGTCACACGTAAGTTTTGAATGGATGAGGTCTTAAGCTCTGCTGTTCTTTTGGAAAATTTCTATGACGCTTCCAGACAATGAACTTGAAAAAGGGATAAAAGATGAAACATTTCAAGTGGTAAACCCTATTATCAGCCTATGAGGAAATGCCATTATTCATTTTCACAGCAAAAATGTTTACTATACCTACAAACTTACCCAGAGTTCCCTTGACTATATCTACTTTAGATACTCTGTCTTGTCTTGGGGCTTTTAAAAAGTCAAAAAAAAAAAAAAGAATTATTCATTTTTATTTTAGTTTAAACAGATTGTAAATTATCTTTTTCCCCCCAACTAGATAATTGAAACTTGACTTTGACATCATCATTATAATAGAATGTGCAAATTTACCTCAGACAATGTGATTATGATAGGGAATATAAAGAACTACCACTTATTTAAGAAAACCATCTGGGGGTAAAGAAAAGGAGAGGACACAGGTGCAAGAGGAAGGAGAAAGAAAAGTAGAGGGAAAGGAACAGACGGTGATAATATTCTTGCCTCAGGATTTTTCTTCTATTTTCACTTAGGAATTAGGCCTCTAATTTTAGTGTTTGCATGGAAAACTCACCAGATTTGCATGCAACTTTTCGGAGTTTTACTGATAAGTGCTCAACAAATACTAAACACTATTTAAACTTTTAAAAACTGGATGTAAGTGCAAACACATTTCACCCCACCTTTGCTCTGTTGTCAGGGATGGGAATGGCCAGCAAACTGTCGATACTCTTATTGGACATTCCTGTTGTTCTCCTCAGTTCTTCTTTCAGCTCTTCAACATTTTTGAACACTTCTATTAATTGGTCTGCAAGAAAAAACCAAAACAAAAGAAAACTCACATGTTGGTTACAATGTAATTCTCTTTAGTCCTACTCATATGGAAAAATATTCTAGGCTAAGACATATTCAACATATATGCCTTGTGTCAGGAACAGATGTCTCCCAGTTTTGGCAAACTCTGCATCTTTAGGATCTATTTCTATTTAATTTAGACTTATTCCTATTATGATATCATTAACCCAAGGTAACAGATTGCTCTGGGTTATAAATTTTCCTTAGATGTCTACAACACAAGGTTGATTCAAAGAAAATATGGTTTCCTCACAGACTTTGATCACATAATGCACTAAATATATCTCTCTCCATTTGATTTAAAACATCACAAAAATTCAAAATGCTTTTTAACCTCAAATCATATATTGTCAGCTTAGGACAAGGTTTGCTAAATCTACAACATAATGCCACAGAGCATTTTTTCTTTAACTCTGCCTAGCACCTCACAGTTTAGAAAGGGTTTTCACAATCATTACCTTAATTTTAAATTGAATGTATTTAATTCCAAACTCTTTCAGGACAGCTTATAATTATTTCATATCTGGGCCATTTAATGCATAACAAACAATACTTTGACTTGACTTTAGCAGATTGTGATCTCCATTTTGCAAACGCCTTTCAGTTTCTTTATGAAGTATCCCTCATGCAAATATATCGTCTTTATTTTTGGACTTAATGCCCTTTCAATTTTGTGGCTGCCTGTTGTCCAAAATTCTAAATGCCTTTCTTTTCAGTATTGAGGTATTATACAAAGAAGAAGTGTATTGCATGATGCATCATGCTCAGAATACTAATAGAAGGTTCTGAACTGATATTTCTGCAGACAGCAGTGCATCTTTATTTTTAAAAATCAGATTATTCCCTTGCTCTTGCAACTGACTTTCTAACGCACTTTAATATATCAGAGAAATAAAAGATGAATGGTCTAACTAGTTAAATTTTTGAAGATATTTTGCTGTGAAATCAAATTTTGCTATTTCATTCTCTGCTGGCTTGCTGTGTGTTTATTTTAGACAAGCAATCGTATTTGAAAGCTTCAGGTGTCTCATGTATAAGGGCAGATACAAAGTAGATTTGGTTAGGAACTTCAAAAAAGCCTTTTCTAAGCTGAAGCATGAGAATCACATGCATTCTAATAAGACAGCATTTAAAATATGGATGGGGGAAACACCTGGTTTTTCAGAAGAGCCTGCACTGTTATTGACATGCAGCACAGCTTCTATGGTTGGCAATAATCGTGTGATATTTTCCAAGTAATTCATTTGCAATGCCTGTTCTAGAAACCTGGAACAAAACAGAAGAGAAGAAGAAATTGAACTAGTCATATCAATAATTATTTAAGAAGGGATTTCACCAAGGAAGAAGACAATGGAAAAACTTACCGATCCATATTTATATTAATTTTGCTTGGATCCCCAGAAAACAAATCCCTCAGTTTTTCAGATAGGATATTGTCATGATACAGTAAACTGGTCGCTATTTCGGTGCCAAGCTCTGCTGCTTCGAGGAGTTGTACGTGAAAGGCACTCTCTTCACACAGGTTCCCAAAGTTTATGCTAGAGAGCTGGCACATTTTCTCTATTGAACTGAAAGTGTCAGGTTCACAAAGAAGCTTGGTCAAGTCTCGAAGTTGAGACAGCTTTCCAGGAAGGGAAAGAGTGGGAAATAGATTAGTTATATTATTCTGAATACTTAGTATTTGATAATAAGCAACTAAAATTAATTTAGTTCCTAAAAACATTTTGCTTATGCGTTTGGTTAGTTGGCATTTGGCAACAGTTTCGCCACAAAGCACTATTTTCTGTTATTTGAGTTTATTGTTCTCTTAAGACTTATAAAATTTTGGGGCCCATTTGATCCCTTTCCCAACCATACTCATATCTTGGAGATTCACAGATTAAAAAGGTGTAGTTTAGTTTCATTTTGTTTAAATTACAAATACTTAAACTAATTTTATATGTTAGTCTATATTTTAAATTGTATAAGGGCAGAGAGCAAAGCAGGTTTGGTTTGGCACTTCAGAAGTCTTTCCTCACACCCACTAGGATGGCTACTATCAAAACAAACAAACACACAAACAAATGAACAAATAAAAAAAACAGAAAACAAGTGTTGGTAAGGATATGGAGAAATCACAACCCTTGTTTACCACTGATGGCAATGTAAAATGATGTAACTACTATATGAAACAGCTTCAGAAAATCTGAAATAGAATTACTATATGACCCAGCAATTCCACTTCTACATATATACCGCAAAGTGTTTAAAGCTGGGCCATTTAATGAGGTGATATCACACTGTAGCATTGATTTGAACAGATATCTGATATTTGTAGATCCATCTTCATAGTAGCTTTATTCAAAATAGCCAAGAGGTGGAAGGAACACAAGTGTCCATTGACAGTGAATGGATAAACACAATGTGGTATATGCACATGATGGAATATTATTCAGTCTTAAAAAGTAAGGAAATTCTGACACATATTACAACATAGATGAATATTGAGGGCATAATGCTAAATGATATAAGCCAGTCACAAAAAGACAAATACTTCATGATTCCACTTATATGAGGTACCTAGCATTGTCAAATTAATAGCAACAGAAAGAGTAATTGTGGGTTCCAGGAACTGTGGTGGGGAGGGGAATGGAAAATAGCTGTTTAATGGATATAGGATTTAGTTTTGCAAGATTAAGAGTTCTGGAGATTGGTTGCACAACAATGTGAGTGTATTTAACATGACTGAACTGCACAGTTAAAAATGGTTAAGGTGGTAAATTTTATATGATGGATATTTCACCACAAGTTTTAAAAAATTAACTGACCAAAAAAAAGACTTTAAAACTTCAGCATGAGAATCACAATATTTAAAGTATGGATGGACATATACCTGGTTTTCCAAAAGTGTCTGCACTGTTATTGACAGTATCTTCTACCCTCTTACCTATTGAGGGAAACTTTTGTTCTATAAAGTGCTTAGAAGGGCTTGAAATCCCTCCCTTAGAGGAAAAGAAAAAGAGTGAAAGTCAACTAATTTTCTGTCGTGTCAAGTATGTTCCTCTATGCAGCTCACTATGTTCTGTGTGTTCTGAGGATCTATCCTCAAGCCATACTTCCTGAGGGGGAAAATTATGCCTCTGGGAAAGCCTGTTCTGTTGTGCTTGGAAGCTACCCTAGAGCTATTCCTTTTAGGAAGTCAAATAATTTGGAGCAACATCTAAATGTCATTCATTGCAGTTCAGTTTCCCAACAGAAGTTGCATTTAGACAGAAATGAATTATTTTACGATATAGGCAAATGTTTAGGAATATTTCTTTGCATATATCAAATGGGAAAGGCACACTGATGTGTCCTGGATGAGAGGTTTACAGTAACTACATGTAGGCAGTAGCATTCAACATCATCTTAGACAGTAAATATCATTATTCTATTTTTCACTGTAATTAATAGCCTAATTGACTTCTGGTTTTAAACTGTCTAAAATGGTCTCATATGTAGTAAAATTCTACTTACTAGTCTTATTGCTAAAAGGAACTTTTCATTCTGTAATAGACCCACTTTACCAGCTGTAACTATATGTTTGTCACTTGCTCCTTCCTTTGACTTTCAAATACTAGCTATGATTAAATTTCTAACGAATGGAGCCAAACCTCTCTTCTACATTCTCCAGCAACTTTTATTTTGGTGGTTTCTTAAACAAAAAGATAAATACTGGTAGCCTAATACATTTTTTTAATTGAGATTTTGAGGATGTAGTAAATTTGAATGACTTCACTCAGAAGAGACTGAAATATTTTTATTTTTATTTTTCATTTTTCCAGTTTTATTAGGTAAAATTGATACAATTTGACTGGACATATACAATATATTGCATGTAAATTCATATATACAATATACTGCACATATTTTTAAAATTTACATATATGTATTGTTCATTGTTTCTAAGAATAGTTTAGAGCTTTAGCTTTTTAAACTTACATAGTTATCAAAGAAATAAAGCCAACCACAAAATGAAAATCAGCAGAATGCAGTAATCTAATCATAAGGACAGTCAAATGTGCTTACACATATTAAAAAAATCAGTCATCTAAGTTATAAACAATAAGTAGTTCATTTGTGTCCTTTTTTTTGTAGATTCCATATATAAGTGATATCATATGGCATTTTTCTTTCTCTTTCTGGCTTACTTCATTTAGAATGACAATTTCCACATCCATTCATGTTGCTGCAAATGGCATTATTTTATTCTTTTTTATGGCTGAGTAGTATTCCACTGTGTGTGTGTGTGTGTGTGTGTGTGTGTGTGTGTGTGTGTGTGTATACACCACATCTTCTTTATCCATTCATCTGTTGATGGACATTTGGGTTGGATCCATGTTTTGACTATTGAATATAGTGCTGCTGTGAACACTGGGGTGCACATATATTTTGGAATTATATTTTCCTCTGGGTATGTGCCCAGTAGTGGGATTGCTGGATCATATGATAAGTCTATTTTTAGTTTTTTAAGGAAACTCTGTACTGTCCTCCATAGTGGCTGCATCAATTTACATTCCCACCCTGTAGGAGGGTTCCTTTTTCTCCACACCCTCTCCAGCATTTATCATTTGTAGACTTTTTAATGATGGCCATTCTGGCTGGTATAAGGTCATATCTCATTGTAGTTTTGATTTGCATTTCTCTAACAATTAGTGATGTTGAGCATCTTTTCATGTGCTTGTTGGCCATCTGTCTGTCTTCTTCTTGTCTATTTAGATCTTCTGGCTATTTTTTGATTGGGTTGCTTGATTTTTGATATTTGAAATATATTTTTAAATTGAAAGTTTGTCATTCATGTATGAGGAACCAACAAAAGTCCATATAGTACAATCTTGGCTTAATGAAATAAAAGATATAGAAGGAGAAATTAGAAATCTAGCCATGCTACTGAAGTAGAATTGGTCCTCTGAAATAATAATTTAATACAGCATTAATAATGTGGACTGCACTGTGGTACACATCTGCCAAGGAACAACATGATGGTCATTTTGTATTTGCCATTATTTGCTACTTTATTCTAAAAGCGATACATGCACTAAACTTCTAGAAACTTCATGGATCATTAATAATCAACATGTATTCAGAGAATTACAATTCTCTCTTCAAAAGTATGTGTCAAGTCTCGTATTGTACAACATGGGGAATATGGCCAATAGTTTGTAATAACTATAAATAGAAAGCAACCTTTAAAAATTGTGTAAAATTTTTAAAAAATAATTAAAAAAAAAAAAAAGCATGTGTCAAGTCTAGATGGCAGGTTTGTCAAAGCCTCATGCAGAGCCCTTCTCTCCTTTACACAACCCTGGTCCACATAGTGAGTAAGAGCTCAGGCCTAAATTTAAACAATGACTCATAACTAACTCCATGTCTGGCTGTGACTGAGTTCCTATGGTTCCCAGTGCATCTGAGTCAGAACTGTAAGTGACATGCCAGTGTAGATCTCAAAATATTGTAGGCATAGAAATGCTAAGACAGCAACACTCCTGGGCTCTTAGCAGGTAAATGAAGGGGAAAGAGGCCTACTTAAAAATGTAAAAGTGCTACAGTATAAATATTGTGCTATTTGTATTTCTGTTCAATATGGAGAATATCCTTCCCACCAGAGAGACTGGAAAGAAAAGAGGAGAAAACAGACAATGAAGGCAGGAAGAAAACACAAAAGCTCAAGAAGAGTCGAATGTTCAGGGCTAGAACAGAAAAAAAGTTACCAATGAATGAAAGGCATTTGGCATTTTAGAGGGTCTAAACCTTCTTAGAAATATCATGAAGAAAGTTTTAGAATGGGTGGGCCCTAACTGACTGTTACAAACAAGAAACTAATTACTAAGGAGGACAAAGCAAGGAAGTAAGAGCATCTCTTTTTGCAAAAGTCTAGGAGTTTGTCTTCATTCTTTCAATGATAGGTACTGAATATTTCCCAGGTGTCAGACTCTATGCCAGGTGCTGAGGGTATACGGTAAAGTGACAGACTTAGCCATGTTCCTATGGAGCGTGTAGTCTTGGAATGAATGGGTTCTGTCAATTGCAAATAGCAGCCATGCTTGTTATAAATGACAACAGATTTTCTACCCAAGGGACAGGATTGTAGTTTATTTCCACTTCTGTGGCTTCTCGAACTTTTTTTCATAATGTAGCCCACAAGGAGAGCAGTGTACTCAAAATGTGGATGCTGTATTAAATTATCCTTAGCTCCATTCCCATACCATTAGTGTAAATGACTGAGAATGTATTGTTTCCATGTCCCAGTATATTGTGTGCTGCCAGATTACTCTGCAAATTGAGAACTACAATAATAATTGCGCAGGCAATGTGATTATATCACCAGGGCTCTACTTTAACACCATCATTTGTTGCAACATCATGAGTCAAGTCTTAAGCTCCTACTATGTGCTAGATGTGGGGCTTTAGAGAGGCAGAAGGCATAATTTCATCAGATTTTACACTCTAGTGAAGGAAATAGACTCTTACATACAAAACAAGCTATAATACTAAGTAATAAGTTCCAAAAGCCAGAAATCTCACTGTAACTGGGGACTCCCCTATCTTATGCCTCACGCCTCACTGGCTGCCAAGCTGTGTCAACTTAACCTCCTACAGTGCTCCTGAAATTCTCTTCCTTCTATTCTCTGCCACTGACACCATGCAGGACCTCACTTTTTGCATAGGTTATTGCAAAAATCACCCACTTAGCTTTCCTCTAATCTGTCCTCCAGAATTCTCCTAGAGAGATCTCTTTTTAAAATATGGAATTCACCTTCTTCAATCTCACAATTTTCAGGATCATATTCAAACTCCTGACTAAGCAAAAGAAGCCTTCGGTGTCTGGGCCCAGTCTCTCTGAGGCCTCCTTTCCTGCCTCTCTCAGAGGGACTTCCTGCTCAAGTTGGACACATGACTCCAGGTAACTTATGTCCGTCCCTCAGGTTCACACCTGTTTTCTTACCAATTCAGATCTCTATGTCTGGAATGTAGGGCTATAACCCAATCATACACAGTCTGCAAAACTCAGAGTAAGGAGTATCTCCATGAAATTTCTTCTCTCCATCTTTATCCTCTGCAATCCAAGTTATATGTGACATCTCCATACACAGAATCCTGCCCACCCACACACCATAACACTTATCTCACTATGTTAAAATCGCTGGTCTGCTTTTCCATCTTCTCTGCTGGATTGATTATAAGGACTTTAGGGCTACAAGTTGTATCTTTTACATAAATAGATAAGTGTTATGGAAGCACAGATGATGGATGGATGGAATGAATGAATGGATAAACATTATATGCACACTGAGTCACTATCCTGGCCTGAACAGGGGGAAAGGTGATACTCTAATTTTATAGGAGTGACATTTAAACTCGTCCTTGGAGGATGAGTAGGATTTTTCTGTTGAATGCATAACTTCCTTCTCATTTGCACAAACAAATTAAGATGATGCTAAATTAAGCACATTAGTTCAGCACATTAGAAATTTTGATTTGTGTTGAAGACTAAGACTACAATATAGGGAACCTAACTAGCATATTTATCTGTATTATACATGGACACAGGTTTTGTATGCCTGCTTAATTAGACCATGTTGACTATACAGAAAGTCATCCTGCTTGACTAGAATAAACCAGTTCTAATTTTACTTTATCCCTGGCTACATAAATCCAATTAAACTGCTGTTCTTACTTGGAAAGCTGCTTTCAAAATTTAATAGGGTTATTTAAGAAATAGAGTGAATTTCATGATAACCTGCATACTCTATGCATAGCTAAACAAAGAATAAGCGACAGACACCAATCAATTCAAACTTCAGAGTTAATTTTTTCTATTGCTTTCCCCCCTTTCTTCAGTATTATAAATTTTAATATGATGTATTAGTTTCTGCTTCTGATGACAATAATAAAAATAAGGTGAGCCAATGTCTGAGATTTTTGTACACTGTGAAGTCTAAAACAACAAGTTTTGAAATCAACTTTAAAAACTAGGAACATCTCAAACAGGAATCATATTTTGAATGTTTTTTCGAATTATAAAGCTTAAGGAGACAACTATACCAGTAGCCATTCCTTTATGTACTGCACTCCGTAATTAGGCCTTGTGGGTCATTTCAGACAGAGATATCCACTCATTAAAAACAAAGTACCATTATATAACACCAGAATTCTTGTCACCCTTTTTCTAACATTAATCTAGAGTCGAAATAGGATTAGAATTTACAAAAATATAGATTTAAAACTTAAACAAAGATATATCTTGCCAGAGAATTACAGGAAATGTTAAGGTTTATTAATTATTTTTTTTCATGGCTTACTTTTGATATCAAGACTTCAGGAACTGGAGGGAAGTAATCCTCATAGGAACCATTTTGAAGAAAAGATTTTTTAAACTGAATTGTGGATTGCAGGAGTCTTAAATTTTCTGTAAAGGAAGAGAAAAGAGTTACCTTATGTGAACTGCAAAGTCATTTAGGAAACCTATCTGAAAGACACCTTTATTCTAACTCATTACTAAGTTTTTTCTAAGATAATAGCCTACTTCAATCTAAATACAAGATGAGTGAAAATTTAATCTTTCCTTGAACCATGGAGACTACAGAGTTCATTATTTTTAAAATATTCATAGATATTCTGCTTAGAGACAAAAATATTTCCAGCAAAGGCGCTACACAGTTTTGGCTTTTTTTGTGAACTGAAAATGCTTTTATTTTGGATATACTATTAAGTAGAAGTGTTTGAGAAAGAACAGGTTGTATAATCACTGTGACACAAATATGTCCTTCCAACCTTAATAAATTCATGCCCTGTAAACAGAGACCATGCTTAAATATCTGTTGTGCTATTTGCTTGCCATTGAGTATCACAGCACTATTTTCGGTGTAGGAAAAGCTAATGTATATCTCCTACAAAATGTGAGAAAATTGATGTTTTTATCTTTAAAAAAAGGGAAAAGAAATATTTGATTAAATACAATCTTCATGGTTGCCCATGTAGGTAGAAAACTGAAAATAAAGTGTGTAAGGATAGGAAATAAAAATAACCTGCTACAAAAATTTACATCTGCCTTTGGAAGTCTATGTTATCATTCGTCATTATTTTTGGACAACTAAGATTATTAAGGGCATAGAAAATGTCACGGAGAGTTATGTGAACTCCTAATTCTGGACACTTGGAGAGTTTATCCAGGTGGCCATTATCACATTAACTGTTGTATGGCCATTACACATTAAAGTTTGTCCAGGTGGCCAGCAGGTGGTGCTAGCAGCAGCAACAGGAGTCATAATACAATAATATGATTAGATATTTCCTTCATATAGCAAACCACTGAAACTAATGCATAAGGAAACTAAGATTTTAAAATTTTCTTTCTTTTCTAAGCAAATGTCTTATGACTTACTACTTTAAAACAAAACTAGAAACCGTGAGTAGCATTTTGACTCTTAAGAAGAATATTACCTTTTGATCCCCTGGCCAAATTGTAAGTGACATTTCTCACACATGTCAAGTAAGGAATATAAGGACTATCTGCTGATACATTTAAGAGGGCATCTTCAAAGTTTTCCAGTATTAGGAGCCTACAGAATGAGAAAAGAATATATAAATCGAGTCATATAATAATAAAGCAAAGCCATTTTGTTTTGATCACTTGAGTTCCTGGCTGTTTGGCACTGGTTGGCTTGGGCACTGAAACCCTGTGAAGCAGCTATCTTCCCTCATCCAGCCCAGCTCCACAGTGGCCCCACTACTCTGGATTCCCTGAGTGCTTACATTTTCCAAGGGCATTATCTTTGTACTTAATTGTTTTAATATCCAATCATGAGTGATTGTAAGATCATTTCTGGGTACATTCACATGAAATAAAAATCACTGGGCTAGGGTTGCCAGATAAAATACAGGACTCCTAGTTAGACTCAACTTTCAGGTAAATAATGAATACTTTTTCCATATAAGCACATCCCACGAATTTTGTATGCTTTTTCTTTTCCTTTCTTTCTTTTTCTTCTGTCTAAATCTAGCAACACTCCTCTGGGCCTCAGCTTCTTCTCTTGACGAATGAGAGGGAGGGGCTAATCTACTACATCTCTCCCGCCTACAACATTCTTAAATAATTTAAACTCATTTAATTGTGATTAAAAAGAAATAGTAGAACCCAACTAAACAACGTATGTTACTTTTTTTTTTTCTTTTTAAACAACCAATTCAGTGTTTCCAAACTAACCACTTTCTGGTTTCCTTTCAAATTGACGGGCGTGTGAGGACATTAAGATTTTTGAGGTACATGTAGGTGAATAAAAATGTATGTGTTATGCAAGTCTTGTCACTTCAACTATGAGGCTGCATCTCTATTTATTTTGTAATTTCTTCCCTCAGTGCCTACTATTGAATTTTATGTATAGCAGAGATAGAATAAATGTCAATGGCTGACTTGGGAACCATCTATTTTGCATCACACTGCACAACACACAAATTAACTGGTTCTATCAGATATTTAACTTAGATTTTATTCAAATACTAATGGAAGAGGCTTATCCTGGCATAGCTAGTAAATATGTACGACAATGTTTGCATTAACATTAAAGAAATCTCAGGCTGTTTAGATGTGGGTTAACGACACTGGATCTTTGAGGAACTTGAAAAAGAAAAAAAAAACTATGGTTAAAAAAAGTCTCTAGCTTGGCAGTCAGAGCACAGCTAATTGGTCAGATGACTACCCTCATTTAAATACAATTCATAGCCTCCATATTAAAAAAATTTACACCCGCTCCCAAGCTTTCTTGCTTTTGTTTAGCCATTTCCTTGATCAGAGACTCTCCTCCCAGTATCCCCTTTCTTTCTTTTGTGTTTGTCTTCTTCGCTGTCAGTTATTACAGCACTGAGCCAATTCCATCCAGTGCTGTGCTCAATAGCAAAATACTGGTCTAACTTGCCAGATGGAATGGCACAAGAGCATCTTATGATGAATTTTCAAGCTTGAAACGGAAGAACGCTGGGCTAGAAGTGACCTTGAAATATCATCTAAGCCATTACGTTAGTTTCATAAAGCATATTTGATTGCCAAGTTTTTGAGATTAGATTTAATATACTCCAAAAATGTTACATCTATGCACCACTGTTTTGGCATAAACATTTAAGTATTCCTCTAAACTATTTAATTTATGTATCATCCTTTATATAAAATCTCAATCCCAAGAATGCTTACAGTAAAAGATGAACTTACAGATGTGTGCACGCATATGTGCACACACATTAAAAAAAACAATAAAAACAATAACTTTAGTACATAAATAATGAGGGAGAAGAGCTTTGAGGAAAAAATGTTTTTGAGCAACTTTCTTTAGAAAATTCTAGACCAAAAAAACTTCTATCTCATGCCAAGTATTGCCATACTGTGATTATTTTAAAGTGTGAATGGAAAAGTACACAGATAAGAAATCCCTTAATTTCATCAATCTCAACAAGATCCATCTTGAAAGTATTGAATTTTTCCTAATAAACTGTCAGCTAGCTCATAGCAACTAACTACATTTGCTGTGGAATTTTCAGGTCTAGCATTATCAATGCTATGGAAGCCTTAAGCATCCAGTTGTCTTAATTCAAAGGTTTAAAAAATATTTTGATAGCTATATAAAAAATGTGTTTAAAAGACCCAAATATTTGGAACATGGTATCCTGACTGGGCGAAAACTGCCCAGGGCTGCCAGATTTCTCTGGGAGAAGCATCCAGTTCAGCTACCTTAGAGGAGGAGAGATGGGGAAACAGAAACAGGAGGTGTTTGTTTATGGAAGGCTTTTGCCTTAAACTACCCAGAGTTGGAGAACTTCTCATTAAATAGAAAGTGTATAAACAATTGCATAGATTTTATTTTAGAAAAAATACGAAAAAAGGTTAAAAAGTAAGTGCTATTATCTATTTTTATTTGTACAAATTTCCATTAGCATAAAAATGTCTCCTTTGGGACTAAAGTCAAAGAATTTCAATAGTATAATTTATCAGGCTAAAACAACCTTTACATAACAGGCCACCTAGTCTCCAAATCTGCCTTGAACTATATGAATTTACTTCAATCAGCTTCTACAGGCAACTGCTCGTATTTCCTACTGTAATTATTAGTTACTTCAGGGAACGGCTCCTTAGGAGCCAAGGCTGCTGCTGTCATTTTCACTGCCTATTGCTAAAACAACATATTTACATGCCCCAATAAGAGTCCAAAATCAAATTACCTACAAACAGTTTTGCCTACTTGAATACTACTGAAGCAAATTCTGAATTATCTTTATTGAGCATACAAAAATATTTTGATTTTTAAAAACTAAAATAAATAGTAACGTGTAAAATTGGAGACTTTTACATCTCTCATGATGAAAGACCTTTAAAGAGTTGGAAGCTGGACCTCCAGCTAGATTTTCCTCAGAGACATAAGGTAACCAATCCATTCAGGACATGCTGGATCTAGTTATGCAATCTGAGATCTGAAAAACAGATCCTCATGTTGCATTGTCCAAAAGTATCACTTGTATAATACCAAAAACCAAATTTCAACTTTACTGCACTTCAATCGTGTCTTTTTCTTTGGTCAGTCAATAGTTAATTTTTCCATTCCATAGTCTTATATACTGATAAAGAAATTATGCTAATGAATTGTTTTGATCATTTATTCAGCCAAATTACTTACCAATTTAGAAACAAACCAACAAACCAGCAAAGACTTACTGTGCAGCCAGGCTGCTTGGGGATAGCGACTGTCCGTCTTCTGCACTCCACACGTGTGTTGTATTATCAGAGTCACCTAAAGTAATAATATTTATACAGGAGAATATTTAACATGCTTGCTTAAAGGATTTATTTTTCTAAGCAACAATCATCCCAGGTCAAATTAATGGGAAGAAAAATGAAGGAACTCTGCAGAATTTTTCTTCAAAGGATTTTACAAAAGATGTCTATGCTCTTTTGGTTGAAAACATTTGGGGTGTTCATAGGAAATAGATGCCTACTAACTGAAATAATCCCAATGGTCAAGCCCATGCATTTCTAACAAATTATTTCTCTGTGCATCAAACCATGATATTATTTTATCCTAAGACCTGTACACATAGATGACTCAAATATTATAATGCAGATTGACAACACCGTGGTTTGTTAATCAAATGAAGCCAATATCAGTCCTATGGGTCACTGGATTTTTTTGTTTGTTTGTTTGCCTTCAGTTGTCTAGAATGTAGCCTTAGGAAACATCTGCTGTCTCTAATCTATATTTTCTGTCTTTCAAAAAGCAGCCAGTGATTCCAATTGAATGCAGCTATGGATGCAGATTGGCTAATGCTAACAGAACCATTCTGAGTGGTCTCGAATAATATGAACTTTTGGAGTGTGGAAGGCAATCACTAAGTTGGGTCTAATGGAAACCGTATGTGAAGATCTAATTCAATGTGGAGAATTGCCCCTAGAAGTTAAACCAGTTGCTGACCCAGAGGGCTGCATAACACTGTATCATTCAAGAGGAAGTGTGTAACAGAACTCACATGAAAAATTGCAAATGAAATACTTTAAATGGCTACTGCATAACCGGAAAGTCAGTGCTTTCATTCAGTTCCTTTAAGGAAACAGTATCACTTATTTCAGTCTTCTCTGTAGAAACTACTAATTCCTTATAAATAATCTAGTAGTTTCAGTGTTGTCATTTTTAAACATTGGCTTAATTGTTTTCAATAGGATATTTTATTGCCAGCTTTAAGAGTTCTCCCATTGTCTTTATTAAGTATGTCCTAAAGCCTGCTAAAAAGGTCCTAAGCGCAAAGCTAGGCAATTATCGGAATTTTTCTTGTACTGATCATTTAATTTAAATTAGCATGTGTGTAAAAAAGACTCACAGAATTAAAGACCTCCTTGTCTACCTCTGCATCAGTCGTGTCTGAGTAATGCCTGCATCATCCCTAGTAACTGGCAGAGTGGCTTTTTTTGGTTTTCTCTTCTGGTTCTCTCTCCTGTGATCTGTTCAAGGTGCAGCTGAGTATCACTACTCTAACGACAGCAGTGCATCGGTGAGTGAGAGGACCAAGAATGACACCCAGAATAGCAAACCTAATTAATAATGGCAATACCTATTATTTATTGGCATCCACATATGGAATAGTCCAGGATAGAACTCTGTGGAGATTTATGCTTCTGCAATGTAGGATTATATAAAACCATTTACCAAGATCAAGTCTTGCTCACTTTGAACTCCTGTGTGGCTGAGCAAGTTCATGAGCATCTGTATACTACATGGTTATGGAGTTTCTCTTCCTCATCAGGCTATTAAAATGAATAATTAATAAAAATTAACTTCATACATATCAACTGTAGGCTTGACCTTGATGTTAAGTATGAATTTTTCCTTTTGCTACTTTTCCTTCTGGACCCTAAAATATCTGGGAAGAAATACTATACTAAATAAGCTATAAAGTGGAAGCTGTTACAGACCTTTAACAAATGAGATTTTACTTTTTTTTTAATTTGTAGAATTAGGCATATAAAAACAGTGCCCATAGACATAGAAAGAAATCTAGTGCACAGATAACCTCTTTCACCAGTAAAGATGGCTTTCTGCTTAAAGATGTAATTTCATGTAATTTACTACTTTGCAAAAGAGCAAACTTCAGTGAACCACAAAGGTAGTCTTTATTCTCAAAATTCAGTTTTATAAATGCAAATCCTAAACTGTGAGACAGGGATCCTTGCTGGGGCGGAGCTGAAAATTAGATTCCTTAAGACAGGAAGTTAGGAGACAGTCTTCCTCCCAAGTGTTTACTAGCATCACCATATTTTCATGGTCCTGAGGAGCCTTCTGGAGAAACCTTGAAGTGTGTTTATAATCAAGGTTGAATCAGAAGTAGACATGGGGTCCCAAAAGGAATGGGGGGATGGCTGCCAAAAAATGTATCCTGTGGGAAGGAATCTGGAACAATTAGTCAAACTGTATCAGTAGCTGAGAGTGGAGCTGTTCTGAGGTTTGGTAGTGGCAGGTACTTGTGTGAGATATCCTAGAAGCCAGTGTATATAGTAGATGTCCCAGATGGTAAATATGAGTGAAGCCATGTAACAAAGAGCTCAGGGGACCTGACTTTGGGTGTAGACAGATCCAGGCTCTAAATCTCAGTTCAGCCACTTGCTGGATGTATGAGGCAAAGTGCCTAGCCTCTCTGCCTCAGTTTCTTTGTCTGCAAAATGGGATTATAACTAAGTCTCAGAGAGTTGTTTTGATGATCAAGGGGGCTTAAGATAATAAAACATTTATCATTGACACAAAAAATACCACCTTTTTACTTTCTTTCTTTGAAAGACAGGAGTGAGAACTTCAAAGCTATCTGAGCCCTGTCATGCATTAGAGAGGACTCTGCTATGAGAGACCACTCCACTCCAATTTACCTGAGTGTAAAGCCAATCGATGAAGTATGTTCATTTCACAAATACCACTAAATACCATGAAGACTAAGCACAAGTAGCTTGGGCAATGTGACAGGTATCTGTGCATGGAGATAGAGACCCCTGTGCTATTGAACTAGGGTCACTGGTTCAGCCTTTAAGGACAAGTTTGAGTTTCCTGAAGGATTCCCAGAAATACGTGGAAAGATTTTTCAAAGACCATAAAAGTTTTGCTCAAGCAGGAAGGCACTTGGGGTTAATGATTTAGTTATTGACATTAATGCCACTGCTTTGGCATCCTCAGAATAATGAAGTCACAAGTGTAGGAAATTTTTAAAAAGACACATTTAAGCACATTAAATTTTTCAAAGAAAAACACATTTCCTTGATGTATTTCCTTGTCATCCTGAACATCCAGTGGCATGGTTTAATACATGCCAAAACCATCATGTCCATTCATAGACATGAGACATGGCCATTGTTAAATACTGAAAATTGAGTTCTACTGTTCACTAGGAAAAGTGTTCTGCTGCCTTAGTTAATAAGAGGTTCTCTGGCTTCTAATGCACTGAGGAGCTTTTGTCCTTTGTAAAAATTTTTTTAACTTTATTCTTTTACTTTATACAATTGCAAGGTGTGAGTCTGAAGGTGAAAAGGAAAAGAATGGTAAGGAGAAACTTGAAGTTCTGAAGTCTTTAAAATGCAAATATAAAAATATACAGGGAAAATAATTAACGTTTGTGAGCATACTGCTTAATTTTCTGGCCTGGACTTTTTTAAGAGTAAGTTCCCCTCTCCGCCCCTGCCAATGTTCATCAAGACTATTGAATTTAACAACAATCAACCTTGTAAGCTAGTCATTAATTCTGTAATTGTAGATATAAAAAATGTTCCAGACCAACAGAAATCAGTATCCTTCGAGAATTCGTCAAAGCCTTTCCAAACCTGCTTTTTATATGAAAACTAATAGTTTAAGACCTTGTAATAAGCAATTGGCTTGTGGCCTGATGCTCTCAGGATACTTATCTGTAATCCAAAGGTAAAGTCTACATATTTAAAAGCTGACAAACTCAATTGAGAAAGTCTAGTTCTAAATTCATTCAGGGGAGATAAATGCTAACCAAACATTTTACTTGGGAAGCAGGGATTTATTCCTTACAGCCCTAAATTTGTTTGTATGTGACAGTGTCTGCATGTCTGTGTATTTCCGTGTGTGGTATGTATTGCTATTCTGTATATGCAGAGACCATCTCTTCTGATTCACTAGCAATATGCTGTAGCTTGTCCTACTGGGAGGGGCAGTAGATTTACACCTATCTATTTATGCTCTGATGTCCATCACACATTTTCAAGATAGCTGGTTGAGGGGTATGTCTTCCACCAAAGAAAGATTCATCCTGATTAAAAAGCCAAAGTTTGGAAATGAGGACAAATACTGCAGTTCAGTGTAGGCTTTTGTTCAAAAAGTCATGGTAGAAATTTACTTGTTGAGGCTTACTCCCTTACTCTGATATTTATTTTTCATACCAAGTATAAACATAGCTTTATAAGCTAAGAGACATCATTTTAACCTAAATAAAAATCCTAGAAAGTCACAGCCTCTTTTCTGGCCATTTCAGCTTGTCGCCACACTTTAGTTAGCTAAAGATTCAGATTTAGTTGTAGCACATGTCCCCACCTAAGAATAGTATCATCCATAAATGATTGTGCTCTGTTTTTAACTTCTAATGGAATTGAATACAGGATTGCAACACAGAATTGAATACAGTAAGATGGAAATACAATACCTTGAGATGGGGAGTCCAGAGTGTACAACAGATGTTTAACAGATTTATGGAGAGTTCTGAATCCTTCGTTAGTTGTGACACGTGGATAAACCTTCTGTACTACCAGCAGCGCACTAACGAGTTGAAAAACAATTAAACCAGATTGTATTTCAAGGTTTGCAGACAGAAACAAAAGGTTACTCAAGGAGAAAATAGCTACAGTATAGAAAATTATTCTTATAACATAAAAGACAAGATGCTGCTTTTGTCATTTAATTACTTGTTTGTCTGTTCATGCACAAAATCCTAACAAAGTGTTCTTGAACCAGACAGAGCACTTCACGTTTCCAGGATTCTAAAGCCTAAAGGCCTTAAAGTAAGGAAGTAAAGTTCACACCAGTTTTTTTGCTTTTTGTTTTTGTAAGACCTAAAAATAACTGCTTAGATAAAGCAGCTCCAATGAAAGGATACTTCTTTTGTGTTTTTAATTAAAGGAAAAAATTAAACATTGGAAATTATTTTCATTAAAAATCAAGCCCAGATAAAGGGTCCAGTTTCAGGAATAATTATTATTTAAGCATTGGATATATATTTATCCTTTGCTAAACAAATGGTAATGTTTTTGAAAAGGAAAAAAAAAAGACTTGCCCTAATTAAAGACTGCATTCTATCTTCTAAGTGGCCCATAGGCACTGCTCCAGGGATAACTCAAAATTAGTCTCCAGACTAACTGGCACTGTCTTCCTAGGATTTTTATGTTACTAATTAGGTGGGCAGTCTACACTGGGGATGGACAATCAGCAAAATCAGTTATGCTTGAGCTCGTTCCTTATTTCCAAAAAGCATCTAGTGACTTAAGAAATGCCTTTTTTTTAATCCCCTTACTGTCATTAATACATTAAAAAAATTGGCATTGTACAAGTATGTCATTGTACACATACTGTGAGGTAATGCTTTAATATACATAATATACATGAGTAGTAACTTAAAACAGAAGGCTTTGTTAACAATTTGCCATTGTGAAGTTAAATGTAGCACATATTAGCTAGTAGTTTTTCCATATGTATCTTAGTCAACTGAAGGTTCACTCCAGCAAACAGATACAGTATATGCATACACTTTCTACAACAGTTTTTCGGAATTTTTAATGTTTATAATATCATTCTAATTGTACCTCCCTAGCTATGAATGAAAACTATATTTAGAGAGCTAGATTTTTGAATGTCCCCTAGCTTCTAGTATAATATTAGAATATACATATAGATTATATGTGCATGTATATATAAACATACACACATATATTTATAATTTTATTTAGTATTCTATTAATTCCATAAAGTCTATTTTATTTGTCCTGTTTGCAGATAAGAAAACTAAAGTTCAAAAAATTGAACAACTTACACATGGCTATCCAGTTAGTAATAAATAAGCTGGTTCTGTCTAATCCCAAAGTTCATGTTCTTTCCAGTCTATATCTTGTCTCTGGCACTTTGCCCCAACATGGCTGGGAGGAGGAGGACAGAACATGTCCGCCCTGAGCCCACGGGCACTGTTAACTTGCCATTCTAGCTGTGTGTTTGGCCATAGGGACGTGGCTGTATTTTTTTAATCTCTGCTCTATCTACGTAACAGTCGATACCTCAGGCATTTTTATATTTGCCCCAAGAATCTCCTGGTTCTCAGACTCTGGGTTGCTTCTGAACCCTGATGACTGACCATGGAGACCAATTAAATGGTCTCTACCAGCCTTCTCTCAACTTGGCCCTGTGCTTGACTCACCTGATCTGTAACACTTTCAAAGACTGAGCATTTGGTAATCTTATCATAACTGTCAGCATCATTGCTATTAATATCATTCATAAAATGTCAGTAGATTTAATTCATCTTTTTCTAACAATGTGACTTAAAAATGACGCCTAATCTCCATCTTCTCTGAAATCCTTTCAACCATTGATCAAATACTTATTTCCATTTATAGATTTTGTTTTCCTGTGCTTTTCATCATATACAAATGGAATTTATCCAAAAAAAAGCTTCCTTATAAGTAAAATAATTCAAAAGGGAGTTTTTGTGATTCATATCTCAGCACAGCTTCTTCCTCATAAATGGAGAATATTTTGTATGTTTTTCATATACCCAACTTGATTTTTGAGACTGCTCATTTTTCTAATCTCTGTCATAATCTTAACATTACATAATCTGGGTTTGATGATTGGGTTATAGGACAGCTTTACGAAACTGCTAGAGGAAGTAGCAGCAGTAAGATTTTAAGGGGTTTATTTGTCTATATTACCTGTTCAATAGAGAAAAAGATAAACCAATGATTTGGTGATAAAATACAGTCATTTGTGAGGAATTTATAGCTTTTAGAGACACTGCCAGTTTAATAATAATAGTAAAGAAGATTTAACTTTAAAAAATGGTTTACAAAGGCGTCTTCAACAGAAATATAATGCAAGCCACATATTTCATTTTTAATTTTTTTAGTAGTCACATTAAAAAAGTTAAAAGAAACAGATGAAATTAATTTTAATAATATATTTTATTTGGCTCAATAAATCCAAAATATTATCATTTTAATATTTAATCAATATAAAATACATTTATGAAGTATTTTGTCTTTTTTTGTACTAAGGTTCAAATTTCACTGTACATCTTACACTTATGAAGCATCTCAATTCAGATGGTAAAATTTCATTGAGAACAGTTAATCTGTATTCAGATTTCACTACAATCACTGGCAAAAATATATTCACAGCCCATGTTATTTCAAACATATTAAAATTTTTTCTAATAATTGGATCAAGTACTAGAATTTAAAATTTAATTTAATTTAAGTTAAAGTTAAAAATTCAATTCCTTAGTAATACTAGCACACCAAGTACTCAAAAACCACATGTGACGCACTGTATACTTATACATTTACAAAATATAATATCAAATTTCTTAAATTAAAAAAACCACAGGTGTCTAGAGGCTATTATATTAGAAAGAATAAATATATAAATTGGCAATCAATTTTAATTAATTAGTCAATTAAATAATAATTAATAATAAATAAGTAAAAGTCAACTACTTTAAAAGAGCTGTTCAAGTTAGATATAAGTCAAATGTCATTTGCTTTATAATAATTTGAAGCAATGTTTTTGAAAGCTGTTTTCATGATTATGTAGACTGGTTTACTTGAGAATATATCTTATTGAATAATGCAATAATTTTATTAAATTTTAAGAAAATTAAAATAGCCATAGTGTAATGTCCTTACATGATTTACTGAAATAACATCTGAAGTATTCTTAATTAATTAATTAATCAGTCAATTAATTAATTTTTGGCCTGAGAGTATTTTTTTGGATCTTCCACCTTCCAATGAGTATTATTTTGTGGGATTTTTGGTTTTTATTTGTTGTTTTCAGACTAAATGTCACTAAGGTATAATTCACATGCAATGTGATGCATCTATTTTAAGTTATGATTCAATGAGGGTTTTTTTGAGTTATTTATTTATTTATTTATTTAGGTTTTTTTTGAGGGAGCAGGAGGTAATTAGTGTTATTTATTTATTTATTTATTTATTTATTTATTTATTTATTAGAGGAGGTACTGGGGATTGAACCCAGGACCTCAAGCATGCTAAGCAGGCACTCTACCACTCAGCTATACCCTCCCCCCAATTCAATGAGTTTTGACAAACATACATACTCATGTAACCACCATGCTAATTAAGATTATAAAATATTTCGATCACCTCAAAAAAGTTTTCTCATGCTTCCAACAGTTGCCCCAGGATCCACTGATCTGATTTCTAACACTAAATTAACTAGTGTTAGAAATTAATTAATTTTGTCAATAATAAAGTATTTACACATCTAATATGTGTTCCTTTTTTTTTTTGATCTGGATTCTTTTGCCAGCATAATATTCATAAGATTTATCTACATTGTTATATGATTCACTAAGCTGTTTATTTTTCCTGAGTAGAATTTCAATGTATGAGTAAACTACAACTTTTTATCCATTCTGTTTATGTATTTTTTGTTTTTCCTTCAATTTTTAGCTATTATGAATGAGTCTGCTATCAATATTAGCACACAAATCTTCATGTAGGCATATGTTTTTATTTACTTGGGTAAATACCCAGGGATAGAATGTGACATCATATGGATATATTTTTAACTTCATTAGAACCTGTCACACTGTTTTCCAAAATGGTTTTATCATTTTACACTCTAACTTGCAATGTATGAAAGTTCCATTTGCTCTACATTCTTGCCAACAAGTGTGGTCATCCATCTTTTAAAGTTTTACCCATTCTAGTGAGTATGTAGTGATATCTTACTGTGGTCTGAATATTACCTTGACTCTTTTCATTCCCGCATTACACAATTCAAACAATTCCCTTTTTCCTTTAATTGATTTACCTGTTTGCTTTCTAAGACAGAATATACATAGGAGGAAGAGAATCAAGTACCAAAATTCTAGGTGAATACAAATTTTCCTAAGAGGCAAAATGAGGACTAAAGCAAATTTCCTAATATCTTGCTTCTTCTATAATTTAATTATGACATGTTATTGTGAAAAGAGCACAAGATTTGGATTCAGATTCCTTCAGTTCAGGTTCTAGCTTTGCCCCTTACTAGTTATAGAACCTTGGGGAAGTCATTTGACCTCCATGAAGGTGTGTTTCCTCTTCTATAAAAGGGGGGCATCTGTGGTCTCAATCTCAAAGAACTGTTGTGACAATCAAATGAAATTAATGTGCCAACATAAAGGCTTATTATAAGGTCTTTGAACAAATATAAGCTCTTAGAAGCTTTCCAGAGAAGATGAGAAAACTCAGACATTAGAGATGGAATATATTGCACTCTTAATCACTTATTAGAGATGCAGTCTGGGTTCTGCAGTTAAAACACCTGGGTTCTGCAGTTAAAAAAACCTACCTTCCTAGCTGCACAATCATCAAATATTTATTTTTATGACCCTCTGTTAACCTCATTTATAAAGTAAATAATAGTTGTGTTGTAAGTTTCAATGTGACATATATGTATAAAGGGCCCAGTAAAGTGTCTGGTATGTAATAGGCACTCAATAATTGCTAGTTGTTGATGTAGTTGTTTTGTATAATGCACATTTCCAAATTAGGTGGACAGGACAGTCAAAACCTAAGCATGTGTCCATCAAATTCTAAATGTTGGCCATGCTCAGATCTCTTTTTGAGGAAAGTAGCCTTTAAAGGGGGTTCTTCTGCAAAAATTTTCTAATCTTTGTGTCATATATGTTAAATAAAGCCAACCCAATATTCAGGCTTAGAAAGATCATCTACAGACTAGCTGCACATGAGGGAGGCCAACCCCCTTGAGGTGGCTTGGTGCAAAACTCTAATCAACAGGGTTGTTTTATATTGCATGGTACCAACCAAAACCCAATGAGATATTTTCTTCTGGAGCAGTTAAAATACTAGATGCACAGAACACTGGTTGTCCTTGAGTGTGCCTGAGCCAATGTTCCATTCTACCATTGGTCCTGTCATACCATCTTTCTCAGAAGCTCTGGGATACCAACCGACAATATAGGTATTATGATTAGTGTTCCTCTGTAATTCCTCATGGACATGACAATAACTCTGATGACCATGCTGTGTGTTTCTCCTTTGCTTAACTAATACCCTCACTTTCATTGCTAAAATCTGCAATAGGGTAATGATGGATTATTTGCTGTCTTTAAATTCCCCACCTACCAGTCACCCTCAAAGTAACATTAAAAAAGACTTTTTTGTGAACAGTAACATTCCCCTTAATGCTTACCTGTTTGCATTTCGAAGAACATCAAATAGATTGCTTAGCGTTGTGTCATTCTGGAACATATTTGGAAAACTGGAGAGAAGCTGCCACACAGCTGTCTGCTCTTGCACTTGTGAGAAGAAGGACAGCACTTTGACCATCTCCTGAAACATGGCCTTCTGGTTGTTGGGATCACTTGATAGCTTAAAAAATAAAACCATAAACAGAGTGAAATGAGTCTTCTAAGTAATCCTTTTAGACTTTCATTCAGTTTGAAGTCATCTTTCACTTGGAAAAAATCATTTCAAATATTCTTAAATATAATTGGATTTTTTCTTACAGTTCTAGAAATTGGCATATTTAACATTTGGTTAACAAAGTTATATTTACACAAAATATTTTAAATTATCTTTTTGGAAATTAAAATTAATTTCTTAGAATAAAATTGGTAATGCTTTTGTTTTTCTGTAGAACATGGTTTAGGAGCTATAGGCATAGTTCCTCTATATCCATTAGTAGACCTTATATTATTTATTTTTTACATGGAAAACACTTAAAATTTATATGTGAAATTGTTTACTATTTGAAACATTCATATGCAAATGTCTACTACTACAATTACACATACTTAACAAAACTAAATATTTCCAAAGTTCTGTTTCAATACAAGGAATTTAAGTTACAATAAATGATTTATAGTGAATAACCTACATAATCATATCTTGTACTCTAAGCAAACAAATAAAAAACACAACCTTTATTCTTGCTCTGGATCATAGGATCCAGCTAGTACATTCAGAAGTAAAAAATTTTCTTCATTATACTCCCACCCAAAACAATTTTCTTAATAAGGTCATTCATACTAGTAGAGTTAGGCTCTTGTTCTGTCTTAATTCTAGGTCTTTCATGCTGAAAATGTGATTTTGAACAATGTATTCTTGGCCACACATTCTACACAACTGTTGAGTATGTAGAGATAGGATTTTAAGTGTTCTACATTGCATTAGGGTGTCTCTAATCCAGTTCCCTTGGAAAACTCAGATTGCTGCAGGGTAATTTAAGCATTCTGTACTTCATAAAAATTACAATAAAACTCAGAGAACCAAGTGGAAAATATTAGACATGGGCATGTTTCATTTATTTCTGTTTATAAAATTTTGAGAGAATTCTGAATAATTTTATGATATTTCATTGTGTGTGAGGTTTCATTAAAAGACTATCAGTGCCTTATTTTCACATTGTTGTTTAAGACAAACATATAAAAATGGTCATTAGCACTCCATATTATAAAGTTCTTGGTTCTAATGTATAATATTTTGGAGAGAGAGATAGATTATTTCATTAAAAATCAGCTTTTCAAATTAGGTTTGATATTAGAAGAAGAATGAAAAGATTACCTATTATTCTAACTTCTGTTTAATTATTAAACTCAACATTACACCTTAAGTAATCTCACTTAGATAACTCATAGAAAACAGTCTTCATTCACCTTAAAACAAAGCCATATTTCATCTATAAAGATGTGTCTACTTAACCATAATGCAGTATTTTTGGTTCAACATTGACATAACTTGAGTCCTGCACATTTAAATGGAAAGTAGACATTACTTAGAATTAGAGATTGTTTGTGAATCTCTGTACAAGGAATCCATGCTAAAGGTGAGCCAATATTTCAGTCAGCATTTCTCTACGGACTAGTTCTTTGACACACTTTAAGTCATTTTGTGTATACAAGAATGGAGACAACACATTTCCTTCTATTGCTTATGGGATCTTGATCATAGTAAAGTGTTTACACTCACCTGAGAGAACTGGTTGGTTAGTTCTTGGAGAGAAGACTCTAAAAGGGTCATGTTGGACAGGCAAAATACGTTAAAAATATTTTTCCCTAGAGTAGTCCAAGAGAAGTCATAATCAGCAATATATGCTGGATAGCTCTCACACAGCTCTCTCCGCATATCTTCTGAAGTTGAATTTTGCTTTAAAAGCTAAAAATGTGTGTGAGAAGAGTGAGTTAATAATGTTAGTAAATACAGATGTTAAAGTGTCCTAATCTTCAAGGAAACTGACCTGTCTTCACAATAGCCATTTTAAAGTCTTGCATGATAGCAACTATTAAATTAACACTAAAATACATTGGGTTTACCCATGAAAAGTCACTGAGAGAATGTGTGAATGTGGTAATTCTTGTCATCTTTATGATTTAAAAGATTTACATACGATTTATTTAACTGAACTCACTTCCTGTCTCTGATTAGACAATCTAAATGTACTAGATCTTGTCTGACAAAAATCTTCAGGCTTAAAAATCTTAGCTTTTTCTGGGCATTTAGAAGCAGAGACTCGGGTGTCCTAACAATCTGTGACACCTCATGGGAAATTGGCCAAGATCTCTGGAAGACTTCCAGAGAGGATGAGCTTCAGTCTAGTCTCAAGACCAACAGTGTTTTTTAGAGAAGTGGAAAAACATGGATTATGTCTCATTTGCAAAGCAATCATGTCATTTAAGAATTATGCTATAGAGAAAAAAGAAAAGCATATACATGAAAAAATATAAAAGTACCTAATTATCAAAGGCAATAATTGGAAAGTATTTTCATAATGGAATCCTTATAAATTCCCTATATATTTCATAGTACAGACCAGTCATAGATGCAGCACTATTTTCTGCTATAATATTGATCACATTCATCATTATTAAGTTGTTTGGATATTTACAGAGCCTATTACATTTAGTTGTAATATTTAATGTATCCTCCCTAATAATTAATTTTTATAACCCCGTGAGGTGAGGGCCAAATTACTTCACCCTCCGTTTAAGTTTATATCACAAAATCTACACTCTGCCTTCCAGCACCTCAACTTCTAAATGTAATGATACAAGACAGGATCCACTTATTCTAAGATATACTGTAAGTGCCAGGTCTTCTAGTCAGTCACCCATATCTTTTTCCTAACCTTACACATAAACTTACCCCAAAATGATCTCTCTACTTATTCTTGCAAGGGTTGCAGAAAGCAATAAACAGAAAGAAAGAAGAATCAGAGAGATTGCTGACACAGGCATCAATATGTCATCCTAATTTTTACATCCCTTCCCTGCTCCAAGTACTCTGAAAATATGTATCTAGACATAGAAAATTTATTTGTGACTTATCTCCGTTGGATATATGACTCTGTGCTGCCTCACAAAATTCTGAAATTTCTTTCAATATGAGAAAGAGAACCTGGGAGTTTCAAAACAATAAAAGGATATTTTTGAGACAAGCCTTGCTATTCTATATATTAAAGAATTCAACTGATACAATGCAATACTGTTTGCTTCTAGGAACCAATATGGAAGAACTGTAATGGAATAAAATACCTTTCCCTAGTTTACACCCTGGCCTGATTTGAGGAGGCTTTAGACTGGAATTAAGTGGGCACACTGAGGGGCTTCCTCAGCTACACAGGGTGTAGGTACCTCAACTATTATGTAAACTAGATTTTCAAAATCTAGACTGGACTGAATGTGAAAGTCTTATATTTCAACCAGCACTGGCAGAATTGCTTTAATAGGTATAGAGCCTTTTCCTGACATATATTTTTCTGTTGTTCTTTGGCTTATTTACATAAACCATTCTATCAAGATGCCTCAGTTATACAGAATGCCAGTTCTAAGGGAACTAATAGAGACATATTAAGCAGCAGTGGTTATGGTCATAGGATATAAACAAAGGTCATAGTTATGTCTTCATGTTTTAGATGGAAGAAATGTCTACTATATAAGACATAGATATATTATTTAAAATGCTTGTGCTTGTGTGGGGTGGGGTGAGAGAGACAGAGAGCGAGCGAGCGATGGGGGTGGAATAGTTTCTCTACAGCAACATCTTAAAAATGATCTCCTCTTAATATCTGAAGAGCACATAAAGCAGAACTCAAACGCCCGTAGGTCAGCCAAATAACTCAAATGTACGAACCTGGTTCAATAAAGGACAATAAGGAAGTGGGGATTGTATTTAACAAATGAGTACCTCTTCTACCTAAAGGCATTCAGATTCAATTTTTTAAAATCCCTGTGGATGTGCACACATACACATATAGCTCATAGGCTGCCAGCTTACACCTCTGACAGAAATGATGTTTATTATCTTGCAATCTGGAATCTTAAAGTGGAAGACTAGTAAACAGACAGAAATCCATAGGTAAGCTCTGTAAATCATGCTAAGGAAAGGGATTTTATCACTTTGGGGAGATATTTTTTACAGCTCTAATTTTTTCAACAGTATTATTAGTATGGATGAGGCAGCAAGTTTGATGGAGGTTATAGCTTCATTTGCTTTCATGCAGCATTTTTCCTTCCCTGCTTCAGAAAATTAAAAGATCACATATAATGCCACTCTATTTTTTACTAAATGAAAATCTTAAGTTCAATTAAGGGACTTACCAGGGAAGTAAATAAATATCCAAGACCTTATGGAATTCAGAATGTCTCAAAATTAAGCTTTTCATTGAAGAGCTCCTAAGAAAAAACTCTCCCTGAGATATTCCTTCAAATGAGAAGGGTACCTCAAACTGCTTCCTATTGGGGAGATTCCTCTGTTAATCTAAGAGGCATTTATTTTTTCAACTCCTTTTTATTATAAGTCCACTACAAAACTGAGTGAAATTACCTTTTCCAAACCAAGAATCCGAGCAAGCACTTGACTACCATTGAAAGTATCTGTTCCAGTACTTTCCAAATCAGAACTTGGACTAGGAAATACTGTGGCTGTGGTAAAAGACAGAACAGATTAGCATTCTAAATATACACACCACACACCACACACACACACACACAATGGGCAAGTTCACATAAGAATCCATAAATACCATTTTTGCTCTCATAATATTCCACAGCAAGAATATATTCAAATATGCATCTTCCATGAAAGTGTCACATTGGCAAAATGGCAAATTCCATCAGTTTTCCCTTTCACATAAAATTGTGATGGTTTTGGTCTGCTCTTGGGTTTTTTCCAATCATTTTGAATGTCATTTGCTTTCACTCCAGTTTATATCATTAAACTTCATCACTGGTATTATTGCCTAATAAACTGAATCACTTCTGTGCAGGCCTAGAGGATTGGAGGTGCCTCCACTAGCTCCACAGATCCATCACATCCAGCATCTGTTCAAAGGATCTGCCAATGCACATCTGGTGATAATGGTTTTTTTTTAATTATTCAATTGGGAGGCTAAAATCTGCTTAGGATCATAAATTCTCTCCTCCCCAAAGTGGTTTCTGAATGATATTTCAGATCAAATAAATGGGAGGAAGCAATTAGTCTGGACTACAGTATACTCTAATTAAGTAATTCCCAGAGTGGCCTCATCCAGTACCATTTATAATGTGGCAGTGTGGTCTGGGTTAGAAGCATTAGCTAGGAAACTATGTTCAGATCTACAGCATGGATGTCCATTAAGCCAGTGTGCTAACTTTTATAAATATTGGACAGAAATACTCTGTTATCCTAGTAACAAAGAATCTTAATATTCAAAAATACAGTAACCTAACATCAGTAGGGCCTAGACTTCGTGAAAATGCTCATGGGGCTGAAAAATTTACCAGCTGATTCCTCCAGACCAAGGCAATACATCGTGAAATGACTGGCCAGGGTAAGAAACATAATCTGTGGCTACAGAGCAAAGCAAAGCTTACTGGACCACAACAGTACGATCTTATTTCTACTGTGCCTTAAGCCACTCAGCCAAACACCCAGAGATCATTCACAACAGCACATTAACTCCTCATAATCATTCACCACCATATTGCTACTACAATACAAAGGACTTTTTTTCATTTGGTCCATCAACTTGTACTGGAATGTAAATATCAGAGAATCTTAAATATCCCATGGCATTTTTGAAGGTTCTCTTTTTATTTTCCCCAGAGCACCAATCATATTCCAACATAAAGGAAGTTTTGCTTTGTTCACTAATACATCTCCAGTACTGCGATAGTGCCTACATGATAGTGGGTACCCAAGAAATATTTGCTAATGAATATGAAACAGTCCAGGTGTTTTGAGAGTTTATTCTCAATTTGTGGCTTCTAATGGGTGTTTCTCAAGACCATCTGCAACAGAAGCACTTGGGCATAAGGGTCAGGAATCTCAGCCTGTGGGTATTCTGCACACTAATGTGAGGGCCACTGGCCTAGCTGTGAACGGAGGAAGTACACAATCACACAGAATGACTGTGATACCGAGTGTTAGAGTGGAAGGAGGAAGAGTACAGCTGGAATCTGCCAGTACATCCTGTACATCCTGTACATCCTGGCAGTTGTTCTAGTACCCAATAGGCTGGATGACTACAGACAGGGAGGGCACTTAGTCTTGTGGGGCCCCATATTCCTCATCTGTAAAATGTAAAGTTTGGACAAATCTCTGAGATTCTATCCAAATTTTAATGTTTTATTACTGGGGCTTCTAACCATCCCAGCATCATCTAATTGCGGACAATTGAAGAGTTCCTAGTCAATTCTGGGAAAGCGTGCAATTCTCAACATTGTATTAGTACCACTAGTCTTTTGCTCCTGGAGAGTATTTCAGTAAGAAACTAATTTCCAATTATTCTCAAGAACTTTTCATAATTGCACCACTGCACTCAGAAAAACCATAAGGAACATTTGTATCTCTTAGGGATAGCCCAAGCATTCCCTCTTCGTTTGAAAAGTTTAAAGTATAAACCTTCTAAAGAGTAGACCTTTACTGTTTGCTCCAAAAGGCCTGTTCTGAACTCAACAGAAGAGCATACCTTACCTGGTGAAGCATGCCTTCTCTCTGGAACTTTGGTGCTCTGGAATGATAAATTGCTGTCCTTCTCCAGGTTGGATGACTTTCTCAGAATTTCACTAGAGAAGAAAAAGCAAGAACTCTGTGCCTTCACCTACATTAATTTCAGTTAGTCACAGCAATGTATTATGTGGCAGATTCCAGGACTCTCTGAGGACTTCCAAGTTTTTAATCTACTTTCTAGGATTTTAGTAGTAAAACACCTAACCGTCCACCAATGAACATATAAAGGCTCCTACAAGGTAAATCTTTATTTGGATAAAATGGCCTAGATGAGGTTTAAAACAGTTATTTTTGTTACTTTAATCTTATAGAAAGGAAATGAGTTTTAAAGGACATTAGAGCTAAAATTTGAAAATACTTATGTTACATAGTTTTCTTTTAAAAAGATGGTGGATCCCAAATATGGGCATCAAAGGGTATTTCAAGGACTGAAACGAAGGTCTCCTTATTTGTCAACCATGAAAGAATAACAAGTTTTCTATGTTAAATTCTAGATGACATTTAGAAGATTATCAAAGATGAATACTTGTAAGATAGCTTCAAGGACAAAGGAGAAGAATGCACATTTATTGAGTATCTAGTCTGTGCCAGGCGCTGTGGTTGATGTCATTACAGGTGGCACCAACTGTTAAAGGAATAATTATGTAAGCAGATTTTTAATTGTACTGAATGTATCAAAGCTGTAATAATAGTATTCTTGTGCCAGGAATCCCTGCACAGCATGATCACACTAAGCTTTTGGAAGAAAATATTACTGGACCATCCAACAATTTAGTAACCCTCTTTTAAAAAGTTCACTTCCTGTTTATTCATTATCATTAAAATGGAGATAATCATATTTTCTTGACACCTAGGATAGGCTTAAACCATATGTCTAAAATAATGTATATATTTCAATCATGAAATCAGTTCAGGTGCCTGGATGTGAATAATTTTCAGAATTCCTAAAAGTTGGAGAGCTTTGTCTGGTTGTTTAAAAAAAGCTCACTTAAGGTACATAAGAATGAATATAAAAAGATAACAGTGGAAAAGCAAGAAGTTCTGCTTGCTACTATGATTCGATTAGGCTTTTTATTAGAAACAAGATCCGAATCCTGGTTCCAGGGTAATATATGATTTGTATTTGGAAAAAAAATTTGTGTTTTTTTTCCCCCATGTCCTTTTAATAAAATCATAAGAAGAGATATATTTTTGTTTTCATTCCCCAGTGTTCTTCCAATATTCTCTATAAAATGTAGAAGTTGCCCCAAAAGTTCTGCATTCTTAATGTATATTTGAATTATTCATGACCATGACTGTACTCCCCTAAATCTTACATTCCTCATGCTGAATATTTGGATGGGAAATCTGTTCAGATAAAAATAAGAACTGACCTGAACCTTTTCCCTTCTCTCAAACAGAAGTTTTAGAAAGTTTGAGAAAGTCAGATTCACTTTTCTTTTTCTCGACATTTTTTTTAGTTCAGCTTGAAATACTATAAGGAATATTACTGAATATCAACACATTTTGAAAGTAAGGGGAAAAACTGCCTTTATAAAAATTTCAAGGGATAGGGACAGTAACAAAAACTAAAGGAAGAACGACAAAGATCAAAATGAGTAAAAAACAAAAAAAGGAGCAAGAGAAAACAGACTGAATAATGAATGGGAGTCTGGGAGAAAAAAAGAAGAGGTGATAGGAAACTAAGAAAGTGTAAGCTTGGAGAAGCAAAAGCTGCATTCACCCTACAGAGGACACCCTGCCCATTTTCTTTACAGAGGACATCTTGCCCCCTAAAGATGGTACAGAGAAACGGCCTGCACTATCAGGATGGAGCTGAAGCCCCGTACTTCTGTATCTGTGTCTGATGTAATCCTTCTAGAATACCAGAACCTTCAAGGTCTCTGAACACCAAGTGGATGCTCCCCTGTTATTCATGATCTGAAACCTGTGAGCATTGGCTAGCGAGGTGAGAAGAGGCAAAGCACCTCACCCAGAATTGTGTAACCCCCTTTACATTTTATTATTTAATTTCTTTACCACTTTACTTTTAAGAGGAATTTTCCATTTTAAGTGATGATCAATTTTCTCTTTAGACTGTAAAATTCTTGAGAAAAGTCTACAGTTCACTGTGTTGGCAGATGGTAGGATGTTCAGCACATGGCCAGCAATGAATAATAGATAATAAAAATATCACTTGGAAGAACTGATAGCTAAGGAAGCAACTCTTAAAACAGCCTGGCCTGCTCTCCAATGTTGCATACCTGGTTCTGCAAAGATCTTTGGAAGAGGAAACAACCAGAGAGGGCACCACAGGCACAAACAAATAATCTTAGACTGTATTCACCATATTCATTCTTAACCTCACTAATATTTATTAAATTCCCACTATATGTAATACAATGGGCAAGTCGAATAAGAAAATTTGGGGATTATAATATGCTAATGGTAATAGCTAAATAAGGACATGCCCAGGGGATGATGGTAACACATGAAAGGAGGTGCTAAATTAGACTTATCCTTTGTGCTTCCTATAGTGCAAGATCCTAGAATCATAACCTAATTGAAGCCTTTTGCTACCTTAAATTTTTTTCCTTCCCCCTTTCACTAGACTGGTGGGTTTCAACTAGGGGCAATTTTGAGTGCCCTCCCCTGCTCCCAGGGGACATTTGGCAATATCTAGAGACATATTTGGTTGTCACAACTGGAGCAGGAGTGATGCTACAGGTTACTAGTGGGTAGAGGCCAGGGATGCTACTAAATATTCCCCAATGCACAGCACAACAAAGAACTATCTGGCCCCAAGAAGCAATGATGCTGAGGTTGAGAAAGCCTGCACTAGGCTATGGCAGAGAAATGAATTTATTCAGTGATGACTCATCCTCAGTCTTACTCCCCAGGAGATTTAAAATCCCACTCAGGAGATTTAAAAAATCCTCTTTGGGAACTCGGAATAGTTCTAAGGAATTCTGAATCTCTATCATACTAGGTATCTCTGGGAGGTATATTAAGGCATTATGCAAGAGTTAGATGCCCCCCCGAATCCAGTATGTAGGTTCACCTGAGTCCAGAAAATTCAACCTTCCGGGTGAGACAAGAAAGCCTGATTCAAATCTCCAACTGGCCCGTGACATTATTTAACTGCCTTTTACTGGCCCAGCCACGTGTGCAGTACCCTGGAGATAGACAGCTACAGACTTCTCCTCTAAGACACTGAAGAAGTAGATTCTGCCTCAGGGACACTTATAGTGCTCTACTTTGAAATAAAATTTAATCAGGGAAACATCTTGGATTCAAAATGTTAAATTTAAGATACTGGAAGAGAAACTGGGCTCAGAGTAGTTTTACTTCTTCTCAGACATATCTACCAACAGTTACTTTTGGGAAATGTCACATTTATAGATATCATCGTAACAGGAGAATTTATGCACTTATACTTAATGTCTTTGTATTTCCTGTGAGTGGGAAAGAGAACCTGTGAGGGCGGTATCCATGTGTGCCACGGTAAATTCTGCCTATAAAAGGAATGGCTTCCAGGAAAGACACATATGGCAAATCCTAAAAAGAAAATCCTGACACTTTTTTGTCTCTAAAGATTGGTTAAACTTTTAATACTTTCCCTTTTTCCGCAGAATTATAATTACAAGGGTATGTAGTGACACCTGGAAAGAAGGTGTGAAATGTGTTCTAGGCCCAGTTCTGATTCCAGCTTCTGAGAACATTCATTACTGACTTGTAAGCACAAATAAGGATGTTGAAATGGCACTGAGTCCTCCTCAGTGATTTGGTACAGTTGTCCTTCTTGGCTAGACCTAAGCAGAAGCCATTCATAGGAAAATTTTAAAATTTTTCATCATTTTCTCAAATTTCATTCTGATATTCATTCCTTCAGGGTCATCCATGCTTCAGTTATAATCCCTGCCTGCCCACATTCAAAATATACCTGTCTTTTATGTGGCTCGTTTACCAATCCACAATCTATATAGTTAAGATGTTAAGATTTAGAAATATCTTAATATGTTGCTCTGTTTTGTATGTGTAATTTTTCCAACACAGTAGCAAAGATAATGTGCCTATTCCTCTAAACTGACTATACAAGAGCCGCCATCTATTTCTTTCTCTTATTAAGTTCTGAGATTCTTTTTCTATGGCCCATCTCAAATACACTTTCCTCTAGTCTAGGGAACCACCACCCTATCTGTCCTTAATGACCTCACCCTTACAGGCCTCGGGAGAACTCTGCTGACATCTCCTCACACAATCTCTCTCCACTGCAATATTATACCCAACAGTCAGATCCATATTCCTCAGGCAGAAACAATGTCTCATGGTACCTGTGTAACTGTTCACCATTTGCTGTCTAATGGTCTGGGCACAGAGAGAACTAAACAATGTTCATCACATTAACCATGTCAGAGAGTAATCAGCCTATCCAGTATCTCCCTGTGTTTCTTTCCCACTAGACTGTAAACTTGTATAGGGGTGTGCCTTAGTCATCTCTGTATCCATAGTAACTCGCATAGTCTCCAGCACGTGGTACACATTTAATACAGTCTTACTCAATGAATTTACAGTTTCGTTTGCATGGCAGTTAAGACATCCTTCCACTTTGTTTTTGATAAGTTAAATTTTAACCTTTATTTTTATACAAATACTAATGTGATTAATAAATGGTTATAATTACTCTAAGATTAATACAATATGAGAACTATACATCTTACCTCGTCTTTATAGTCAAAGGAGGACACATATCTGTTCTACTTCTACTTACTTTACATTCCTGATAATATCTCTAGGTCAGTTTCTAAACACATTTATATTTTTCAATACTAAACAAAAGACTTGGCATTTAAAAATTTTCCCTGAATAGAATCTGATGAGCTATGTTTCACATTCTGTAGGAGCCATTCAACAGGAACAGAAGTGTGAATTTGGAAAGCACGGCTCATGGATGAGCGTTGACATGACAAAGGTAGGGAGTAAATCCATAGAGGCAGTTCCCACACAGGAGCTGCAGGAATGCTGAACTGCTTCTCCAAATAATGACCCTGTGAGCTCTGCAAGATGATCTTTGCCATTTGCCAGCTGTGTGAGCAATGGCACAGCCAGAGGCTCCCACTTTCTGCTGTATTCTTAGGGTCTGTGCAGGGAGGAAGGACCACAAGGGTAAGTCCCAAGATGTTGGATCACCCCTTGTGCAAAAGAGCTAAAAAAAAAAAAAAAACCCTCCATAAATGTAACCATTTCTTCTTTCAGACAGTTAGTTACAGTTGATGCTGAGTAAAATGTCAAAGTTTTTTGAAAGCCATTCATTCTCAAGCTAATGCTTAGAGAAGTATGAATTTAATAACATAAGGCTGGTGCCAATGCAAAAACACTTGGCGATTGGCCAGCAAGTAGTGACTGCAGTGTGATCATGTCTTTCAGAAAAGCATTCTATTAAAATAAACATGGTGGGCCTGTTCTGATGAGGCCAAAGATGGCATTTTCCCCCATCACTTACAAAACAGGAAAGGAAGACTGTTTTGCTTCTTAATGAGGCTAATGCTGGTGAATCTTCTTTCACCAAAGAGAAGCAATTTAGTGGGATGGCCTACCTAGAAACCATGCCCTCATTTCACTGCATGGCTATATAAAGCATAAAAGTTAATAGCATGGTGGGAAATATCATTAATGTAATTTTATTATTGTACATAATTTTCTAAATTAAGCTCCAATTACTTGGTAGTTTAGAGAAAATACTGAATATACAGCAACATACAGCTTGAGCTTTACAAACTACCTGGAGATTAGAATAAAACTAAAAAGAACAAGATATGATCAGCTAGCTGGAGAATAATCAACAAAGGGTGAAATAAGCCTGGGTTTTAATCTTAGTTCCAAAGCTCAATGGCTCATCTCAGGTGACTCCATAAATTTGGTTCTCTATTAAATTACATAGAAAAATACTTCTTTAGGGCATGGTATATTTATAGACTTCTTAGATATGATTCATTATTTCCCTCATTGTTACTTAGTTCTTCATGGGAAAAAAAAGATACAAGGAAGAAAAACTGTTATCAGCAATTATGCTATTTATTTATTTAATTGCTCTTTTTTGCTTACTTTCCCATTAGCATGCAAGTTACAAAAGGACAGAAAGTTTGTTTGGTTCACCTCTGTATCACAGTACCTAGAATGGTGCCTGGCACACAGAAATGCCTCAGTCACTATATCCCGAATAAATTAATAAATACATGAATGAACATCAGAGTGCTTTAAGTTTCAAGACTAAATAACTTACTGAAACAACAAAACCAATGTGAATTAGCAACCCAACAATTATGAGTGTCCCAAGTCATTTCCCATGACAATTCTTGACGTGTTGATATTTTATGCCAAAACGGCCTGTAGTTAATTACTCTCTCTTAAAGTATCGCCCATATTAACTGATAACCAAAATCATGATGATAATACTAAAGGAGAAATGGTACTACATTCAAAGGAATTTAAATTAAACTTTTAGAACCAAATATCTCTGATTATGGATAAATATAAACTCTTTTGGAGACACACTTTAAAAAAAACTCTACCAGAATAATCTCATGGTCGATTCAGATAACAACGTTGTTCTCAGTTCTACAGACAGTTCGGCTCTTGGGTGTCTCTTTAGGGTTAGAATCTCAGGATGGAAAACTGAGGTTGTAAATGGTCTAGATTCCCTATCATTACTCTACAGCTTCTTCTCACACCATAAAATAGGACACACATTAACCTCATTTACAGGTTGTTGTTCAACTAAGTATGCTTTCAAATTGAGTGCTTTGATTTCTGGTCTCTTAATTTCCTTATTTGCATTTCCTGGTTTCTGTTATATCTGGAAGTACCGTATAGAGTAAGATAAGTATGTCATTCTCCCAGAATATAAGATTCCTGACATTGCCCTACATCTTAATGCTTGTGATCGAGTCTTAGGCCAATGTGTCACTGACAATTTGAGGCAGGATAGAGGATCTCTGAGGGGAGTTAAGGAGGAACTGCCTTGGCTACACAGTTTAAAAACCAAAGTTTGACTAATTCATCCAAAGTAGGTTTATGTTTAATTCCACATAAACATGGTAATTCCAGTTTGTACCCACCTTGCTCAGTCATATTTAGATCATCACATTTGTAGATATAGAAAATAAAGTTGTATCTAACCTGGGATGCCTTCCTGGATATCTCATAAGGAAACAAGATCTGATCTCTCGAAGCAACTGGGAAGTGTCCTTAGGAAGTGTCCCTACCTGTCTTTAAATAGTGTATCATCAATTCCTTTCCTACGAAGCAGATCTTGTGGCCCATAGGGTGTGTCTTTGCACTTGGAGTCTGTGTCACAGAGCAGCGTTTGCAGGAACGGGAAGAAGCCAGTGCTAGGAAGGTTTCGAGGTGCAAGGTAACCTGAAATTTAAAAAATATATATATATCATTATGATATTTGCCTGGGAAGGGGAAGAATTGCAGTAACTGTTTGAAATCTCCTGGATTATGACTGTCTGGGTCCCCTATGTATCAAAAGACTTTAAAATGCTTGCTGCCCTACAACTTCCCTTCCTGGAGTTTATTCTAAGGAAATATCTGCAAGAATGTTTGCCAGAGTGTTTTAAAAATAGATCACAGTGCATCCATGTTATACAGCACTATACAACAATAAGTATGTTGTCAAATAATATAGAAAATAGTTACAATATATTGCCAATTAAGAACAGATCAGAAAACAATGTGACCAGAATAGCCACAATCTTTAAATATATAAACATATGTAGTATATTAAAAAATCTGGAGGAATTTTTCCCTGTGTGGTATATTTCACATTTCACATACTCTCATTTGACTATGTATTTTTTCCCACAATGTCCAGGTCTTCTTTTGTAATCAGTCATTATAAATGCAGCCAATCTCCCAGATACAGGAAATATTTTTGATCTTCTCAAAATGTAACATAACAGCTAAATTAATTATCCTATACATACAATATTTTCTTCCTTTTTAAAAAACAATAATTATAGTGTGACTGAATATGTAGATTTCCCCCAATATTAAAGTCACAAGAATTGTAAAGTTAAAGGTTTTGTAACCTTTAACATTTGCCTTAAAAAATATGAAAATGGCATACACACGAGTCAAGACAATAGGCAAGCTGTGAATTATGAATCTTTCCACAATTAGGTCTGATACTAAAACACTAGCTTCCTCCCTTTGGGGAATACAGAGACAATAAACTTTCAAAAAAGGCAGGTTTAGAAACCATAAGGGTAATTCCAAGCTGAACCCTTAACTTCCTTATGAATCTGTTAAAAGAGTGTTGGTACAGATATGTTTTTATTACAAAAAGAAACAAGAAATTTAAAAAAATTAAGAGGATGCATTATTAGTGTAGAGAATCTAAGTAACTTAAATACAGATCTACATTAAAAAAGCTAATTGGAAATAAAAATGAAAGCATAATAGGAAAGTTGGCCAGAGAAAAAGTAAAGAAACAAAACAAAACAAAACAAAAATGGAGAGAGATTGGAAGATGCTATAAGACTTCGAAGATGGAGGTAAAGCCAAAAGTCAAGGGAAGAGGGTGACCTCTGGAAGCCAGAAAAGGCAAGGAAGCAGATATTCCTAGAGCCTCCAGAAGGGATGCAGCCCTGCTGACACCTAACTTTCTAACTCACTAAGACTAAATTTTGGACTTCTGAACCCCAGAACCAAAAAATAAGAAGTTGGTGTTGTTTTTAATCAACAAAATTTGTAGTAATTTATTACAGCAGCCATAGAAAAAAATAGAAAAAACTAACACATAAAATAGCAGTATGAATTAAAGTTTTGAAAATTCAAAAGAAACTGGAAAGAACTTAAATCTACCAAACTATTCACTATTATTTTCTAAGAAGCTTCTTTTTTCTGACACAGAAAGATCAGTGTCTTTCCTAATATTAAACCCAAATGAAAATTGCAGTGAACCCTCAATGTTCTCACTGTGACACAATTCCTTGAATAAGCTCAAGCAGCAAATTGCCTGCTGTCGTTTTACACCACCCCTCTGTAACAAAATTCTGCCACACTGAACTGCATACAGCAAGACCTTTACAATTTCGCAGTGGAATTTCACCATTAATGGTAAGTCACCCTGTTACACAGCTACCACCTGGAGCTGCTCACTCTGGGTGTGGGTCTGCAAGTGGGCATATTCCTATTCCATTTCAAACACATGCAGTGGGTTTTCTGAATGGAAGACAGAGATAAGGGCAGCAGAAACAGACGGTCCCTCTGCTCTATACTACTCATTAAGGTGATGGTGGGGCTGATCCAGGCAGTGCTAAAAACAATGGCTGTTCAGGAGAAGCTGTATAGAAACAGAAAGAGAGGGAAAGAAGGAAAAAGATATAGGAAGAAGACTTAGGAAGAGTTGGCACATTACACCCAATTTTACTTATTCTGGTATCGATTACACTTTACAGTTTAAACCCACAACAATCTTTGATCTGATTAGCTGTAGATATGCCTATTTTACAGGAAAATTCATCAAGGCATTTCTTTAGAAACAAGATCCCATGGTGTTCAAAGTACAGACAGTCCATGTTTTGCAGTTTTTTGACAACTGATATTCAACCTGTTACAATGGGTTCATGCAAGTGAGAAGCTGGCTTCGGTATATACAAGTTTAACACAGCATCATGCAGAATATGGACTGCCTGCATCATTTATTTTACCATCACCTTTTAACCGAGAATCATATACTCATTAAAATAAGAGAGCCTGTTGCAACAAGAGTAACACTGATTTATAAGCATCGACTATATTCCATGCATGTCATTCATCCTTTTTTGATATCCACAATATACTTTCACATCAACTTTTCACAAAGTCTGGAAATTCCTTAGAATTAACAAGTCAAAATGAAATAGAATTAAACTGTATTATAGCTTTCTTGGGAAAAAAGTAAGACATTTTCAGTCTTCTGCCCAACTCAAATGTGTGCAAGGAAGAAACTACTCAGAACAATGGTGGAATCAAACCACTGCATGTTTCAAAGAGCTGCTGACTCTAAATAGAACTCATTCTGTTCTGAAGGTGTCTCTGGCTGTTTCGGGTTCCAAAATTATGTCTTTATATTCCTAAATGCTAGGATGCAGGAAAAAGAGCACCGTTCCTCTATCTTTCACAGAACTTCCATTCAGCAAGCACGGAGCATGCAAAGTTAAGGCTAACAATCGGTTGCCCACGTTCACAGCCAGAGCACAGATTTAAGGGTACAAGTAGAGGAAGATAATAAACGTGTAAACCATGGCACCACTTGCAGGTAAAAAACCAGATCTCAAGACTCTTGGGATGGAGTGTTAGGCAGGATAAAGTCCTTGATATCATGATTCCCAAAGATCTCACACTCATGACAACATTCACACTCATCTCTAGGAGGAACGCTATTAAAGAACTTGCAATTTCTCAGGGAAATTGGAGTCAGAATACTCCAGCATAGTCTGGGAGTGCGGTGGGGTGGATGCCAAGCAAAATTTCAAGCCACTTTTAGCGTAGTCTCTCAGAGGCTCAAGGCATAGGCAATGAGGCTGTATGAGCAGTAACCCACAGTGGGAAGATATTAGTCTCATAAAATGGATACAGTCAACATTATTGACACAATCCAGTAACAATGACAAGAGTCCAATGTTATTCCAGGGAGTGGAATCAAGCCAAACTATATAACATTTTTGGAATAAACAACCAGTTAGCTAAGCTTTTAACTAAATCAAATTCAGTTTTCGTTGTTTTAAGAATGACGCTGGCATTATAAAAAGATCCAGTTTAAGAATCTTTGGAAAGATACTTTGTAAAGAATTATATCAACCTATATATTTATGGTTACCTAGAAGGGGGACCAAGTTTGATTCTCCTTTCCCTTTCTGCACAAAAGTCCTTATTCAGAACAATATTAGTGTGTAAAGATTGAAGTGGTAGTTCTCAAAGTACAGTCCCTGGATCAACAGCATCAGCATCACCTGGAAACTTGTTAGAAGTGAAAATCTGAGATCCTACCCAAGATCTAACGTAATCAAAAACTTTGAGGATGGGGTTCAGCAATCTTTATTTTAACAAGCCCTCCAGGTGATTCTGATGCACACTAAAAAGTTTGAGAATAACTGTATTAGACTGCAAACTTTTCCATAAGAGTTAGATGGTAAATATTTTAAGCTGTGGGCCATATTGTCTCCATCACAATTATTCAGCTCTGCCATTGGAGAATGAAAGCAACCATAGACAAGGGGGACATCAGTGGGCCTGCTTGTATTCCAATAAAAATGAATTTACGAAAAAAAAAAAAAGGCAATGGACTGGGTTTGGTTCATAGGCTATGGTTTGCTGACCCCCAGGAGGATAACCTCTTATACTTGTCCCTCTCCCTCTCCTGTACTGTTCGTTTCTTGTTTTCACTTCCCCCCTCCTTCTTTTCTTCTTCCCTTACCTCATTAATCTATTTAATATCCCCTTCCCTCTATTTCTCAATCTTTTGTTCTTTCCTTTCCACTCGCCACCTTCTTGGTTTCCATTTCTTTCTTTCTCTTTTTTCTTTCTTCCTGCTTATTCTTTCTCTCACCAATCCCTCTATCTCATTACTCACTGATATAGCCAAGAAGGCATATTTCTCCCAACATCCTCCCTTAGTTTTTTTGTTTTTTTTTTTCCTTTTTTGCCACTTCAGGATTTTTTGCCCACTTCCATACTAAATTCAGGAGATTGTTACTCACTGGCACTATCTACAGAAGTACTATTTTCTACTTATTGCATTATTAAAGAAAGAAATGTCACAGTCTTTTTGGTAATGAAGCTACTTCCATTTGACATCATTAGGCTCAGAAAGCATTCTGCAGGCTGCCTTGGTGACATTTGTAAATATTATAATAATGGTAGAATTGGAGAACTTCCACTGTGTTTCTTTGTGTTTTTCTCAAAGTAGGTCAGAGCCCAACCTAGGTGGTATTTTTGTGTTTCCAGGTGAAAGGAATTTGGTCTTTATCCCAGTAAAGAGATAAATGATAAATCTTGGAAGAAAATTCTGACTTTTTAAAATATGGAGTTATTCATTTGAGGCATTATATTTTTTCTTAACTTTTTGGATACAGGGTCACATTAGCAGAAAAAATTCAGGCCTTCTGATCAGCAAATGACATCTCCTTGTGAAATACCATGGCAAGAATTTGCCATGACAAGCACACAAAATGAGACAAGCATTTCTGAAAACATTATCTGCAAATAATCAGATAACCAGATATGAATAAAGAAAATTTCAAAAAAGAAATGAGTCTCAGAAGTACATCTGTAATAATTTATTAAAGTCTTTTTATTCATCTAGTTTTTGAGGAAATTTTCTTCTCAATTACATTTTTAAAGACACAATTAAAATTATAAATGACATA